CGGAGGCGCGATCAGATCAAGCGTATAAGCGCCTACGTTTGATCCGTCATTAACTAAGACGTTCAACGTCTCGGTTACTTCCTGGGGACCTATTCCCTCAGTGATTATTTCCTGGGGACTTATTCCCGCAGGCTCGATGGAACCTATTCCATCGAATTCCTCTAGCTGTGGGCTGCGCAACCACAGAGAGATCTTCAGCGCTTAACTCTCCAGTTAATCTAGTTTTACCGTGTTGCCGCTTCTGGGCATCCAATTTACTCTTTGGTACTAGGCGAGCATTCATGTCCCGGTCCACTCGACTTATTCGAGTGGTGGACCTTCGGCGTTGCCTGCACAGCCGCCAGCAGCTTGCTCCACAGTGTGACTATCTGTCACACTGAGTTCTTGTGCAGTCTTACTAACAACCGGACCACAAGTGAGGCCATCGCAGTACATTCACACGCTTGTGAACGCTCCAAGACATTCATCAGATGGCCATCTGATGAATAAGCGGCAGGCATCTTCACGGTTCGATGCTGCCAGCTGAACCATGGCTCGTACCTTCTGAGCCATGGTAATCCTAGGATGACATCAAATTTGTCATCCAGGTCAAGTACGATGAAATCATCATCGTACTTTTTGCCTTCAAGCGTGTAGTGAATTCCCACTACACGTTTCTTTACTGTTACGGATACGCCAGTTGCAAAGCGCACCGTCATCCTCGTCGGAGGGGTCTCGCGCTCAACATATTTGAGCCTACGATCATCTAGCGATTGGCGTCGAACAAAGTTGTTTGAAGCCCCACAATCAACTAGGGCGCGAAGTGACATGTTCTTTGTCACTTCGATCTTCAAGGTGATGAGGGATACCTCATCACTGGGAGCGGCAACACACAGTGACTGTATGTTGGGTGCAGCCCTCGTCAAGAGTCCCGCGAACTCTCTTGACGTTGCTGGATCAGTAGGGCGCTCCGCCCCTACTGACCCCGACCGTTTTTTGATGTTCCACCACGTTGTTGCGATTTCGCAGCAACGGGGGACCCACGTCTCTGGCCCTTCTTGGCAGACGGTCGATCGTCACTCCCAGTGTTACGAGACACTGGGCGTGGGGCACTACACTCATAAGCGTAGTGGCCAAACTTCTGACAGCGATTGCACTTTTGCAATCGCTTGTACCCTGGAGAGCTAGGTCGCTCGCTCTCTACATAGGAGAGGTCCATTGGTTCTGGACCTCCGCCCTCCTGTCGTCTCGGTGGACGATAGGACCACGAGTGGACGTGAGCCTGTTGCAGGCTAAAGTCCTCCTGTTCCGCTGCAGAGATCGCTTGGTCCAGCAATTCTAGTTCCAAGCGGAACAGGTGGGTCTTGACAGGACCATTTGTCAGACCCTTGATGAACACAGTAACCTGCGTGTGTTCATCTATTGGGTTCAGTACGATACAGCTAACGAGGTATCGTACGTGTTGGGCGTAAGCGTGTATATCACGCTTACCCTGTTTCAAATCCAGGAGCTCAGCCCGAGCCCTGAATTCGGCGCGAGGCGGTTTAAACGTGTGTTTGAGCCGCGCCTTGAAGACGTCATACGTTGGGAAAACGTATGGATCGTGCAGTTTGAGCCCTAAGGCCCAAGCTTTGGCACGTCCTGCCAAGTTCGACATGGCGAACTTGACCTTCATCGCATCGTCATCGATGCGACGAGCCTCAATGGCATCGTCGAGCTCGACGAACCATCTCAACAAGGAGTCGCTTTCGACTGCCTTGTACTTGGAGACATCAATCTTCAAGGACTCGGGTCGACGTGTATACGCGGACCCGGCAGCAACAGCACTAGCCTGCTGTTGTCTCAACAGTTCAGACTGTTGAGCACCCTGCTGCATCAACAAGTCAGCTTGTTGAGCGCCTTGTTCTCTCAACAGTTCAACCTGTTGAGAACCTTGCTCCTCTAGCAAGGTGAGTTTCTTTACAACTTCATCAAGTTCATGTTGTATGAACTTAAAGATGGTTGCATGTTGGTCGTCTCCGCTAAGAGAGAGCAACATGGCACCAACGGCAGGGTTGCCGATGGTTTCAGCCATACGCTGAACCGCATTCCATTCGAGGTCACTCAAAGGCGGAAATCATCACGCGTTGCGTGATGACGTTCATCACCCGCTGATTCCATAGCGGATGGTGCGGTGGTCGCTGAACGGACCACGAAGTGCTACCAGGTGTAATGGGGCACCCTCCGACTATACTGATTACAGTATAGTCTACTTTCACTGATTACAGTGAAAGCAGATGCCTCAAAACCTCACGTACACGTGAGCAGAGGAAGCTTATCAACTAAACAAACACTTAGTTGAGAGGGAAAAGAAAACTGTATTTAATATAGTTAACTATCTTAATAAAACTAATCTGTTATAACCTATGTTAACTATATCAAACTACAACTATGTATGTTGACAACTTGCCCTCCACTCATTGCGCGCGTCCATCGGTCATTGGTCAGCGCGTTGGTTGATATGATGGCCCATATCAACCAATGAGAGGGCATCTCCAACTTCAAGGAGATCTGGGAACAATATTATATGAAAATATAATATTGTCAAATATTATTAGTTACTAGGGTGTATACCCGTCATTCCGACGGACATGGTGCGCAAGTCGACGCCTGTAATATATTGACCTTTACATCATCGTTTTACCAATTTGGTTGAATACATTAAAATGGTGATATAAAGGTCAATGTGTACTCGTCGTTCCAACGGACATGGTGATTGAAGTTTGCCTTTTAACCTTCGAATCCAACATTTTTCCTTACAATGTTAAGGTAAAGTAATGGGTATGACATTCAATGTGCACCCGTCGTTCCGACGGGTAGTAGCGTGCCGACCGAATATATAGATCTAAATATGCATAAAGGACCGAATATAATTTAATCTATGTGTGTCAATCAATTTTTAATACAACTTTTTGCCTGCGTGCAGCTTTTGGTAGTGCCCATTGTTCCGTCGGATAGGGGCGCGATTCTACGCTGATAGTACCCTGGCCCACCATATATCTTAAAATATGGATGCTCACTCGTCGTTCCGACGGGCATGGTGAGCAACCATCTGCTAGATAATCTTCGTACTCACTTATTATTCTGGTTGAGTCAGGTAATTGCTACATATGAAGTCAATAAGTATGAAAGTCAACGTCTACCTGTCGACGCTGGTCAATGTGTATCTGTCGTTTCGCACGACCATGTGTACCCATCGTTCCAACGGACACAGTAAGCGAAGTCGTCGTTTGATCTTCGTACCCATCTCTTTACTTCTACATATGCGGTTTAATAAGGTAAAGTTATCGGTGAAAAGATGGATGTAAGCCCGTCATGCAGAATGTCCGGTTGACTTAAATAAATGAATAAGTGTGATGCACTACATTTGATTCGATTCTCTTATTGTAACTGCATCCACCTTAACCTGATCACTACGCTTGCTTTTGCCACGTTGAAGTGTATTAGTTGAGCCCTGAGTCCATGTTTTAATAATACGAATCGAAAGCATGTGTCTCATCTAATATATCTAAGAAATGATGTGCTTGATATTTTAATATGTAATGATGCATATGAACATTTATGTGTGCCATCGTTTCGTATATTCGTTTTATAAATAAAAGCACGACCTATGGACACTCTGTTATGGAGATTTGCACATGTAATAATTAATACAAATTGCATAATCAGCCATTGCAAAATGAGCCAAAAATGCATAATCAGCCAATCCAAAATTAGCAAATAATGCAAAAGTAGCCAATCCGAATGCCGGAAAAGGATCAAACGGACAGACAGTATTCTTTTATTATATAGACTAGGGTGTGTACCCGTCGTTCCGACGTACATGGTTTTATGCTATTAATAATACGTATATGGGGGTGTTCCCGTCGTTTCGACCGATAGGTGCACAAATTTGACGCTAATCGTATATTGACTTAGGTGATTGATTCGTTCTAAAGGTAATGTGTATGAAGGTCAATGCGTACCTGTCGTTTCAAAAGTTAAAGTGTTCACCCGTTGTCCGACGGACATGGTGCATGTAAATGTTGGTACCCATTTCCTATTTTTAATCTCTGGTTGACTCTGTAAAGTGATGGGTATGAAGCTTAATGTGTACACGCGCTCTGTGAATTTTCTGTTCATTGTTATAGAATGATGGACGGAGTTATTATATAGATTTTACAATATAAATTTCAGTCATGATACCCATTTCTATAGATGGATGTCCGACAAAATAGATTGCTAGACCTCATAAAAAATTACTAATTGAAATAACAATGATGGAAATGTGCTTACGTTGATGCAAATAAGTAATGGTGTTGACCCGTCGTTCCGACGAATAGGTGCACAAATTTTATGCTGCCAGTATTCAAATTTATCTCTTTCCTTAGAATATCAGGTTGCTTTACGTAAGTTGATAAGTATGAAAGTTAGTGAAGGTCGGTATATAGATCCATTAATTCAATTTCAAATATCTGGTTGGGTCGAGTCATTGTGACTATGATGTCAATGGGTATAAAAGTCAGTATGTACCTGGCGACGTCGGTCAATGTATTGACATGCCAGTTGGTATAACAGATTGTCCCTCTGCCAGTCAATGGCGTGTCAGTATACCTGCCATTTCGCAGGTCAATGTGTACCCGTCGTTTCGCAGGTCTATGTGTACCTGTCGTTCTGACGGACACAGTAAGCGACGTCTGTCGTTTGATATTCGTACCCATCTCTTTACTTCTACATATTCGGTTCAATAAGGTAAAGTTATCGGTATCAAGGTGGATGTAAGAGTTGGCAGAGGACTTTAGATAGAAGAAGATTGTGTATTGTTCCCGTGAGGGTTAATCCCAGAATGAGATGTATAGAAGTGCAGTTGTGTTAATCTGCCTGTAACATGTAATGATGTAGATCGTGACATCACGAAAGAAGGTAATGGATGATCTGGGGCCTTGGTGATAGTACCACTGTTGACTTGAAGTTTCAACTCTCCCCCACAAGTCAAGCAGGGCTTAGCTGATGACCTTGAACTCATCTCGACTCATGACGTGCAGTGCTCTGGTGAAGCGGTCATGCTTGATACGGCCGAGTGGTTTGGTCAGGATGTCTGCAAGCATTTCTGATGTTGAGCAGTAGTGGACCGTGACACGCTTGGCTTGTACATTGTCGCGAACAAAATGGAACCGGATGTTGTTGTGTTTGCTGCGAGGTGAGCTGACGCTGTTCTCCATGTTCATAATTGCAGCTTGATTGTCAACAATTAGCGAAAGCGGTTCGTGGTTTGTTGTGAGTTTAAGCTCCGATAGGAGATCTTTTACCCAGAGGCATTCACTCACACCTGTTGCACCAGCAATGTACTCAGCTTCCATGGTAGATAATGCGACGACGGGTTGCTTCTTGGATTACCACGATATAGGCGAACCATTCATTGTTAGGAAACACCGGTCGTGGACTTAGCGTCTAGCTTGGAATCGGCCCATGATGCGTCACTGTAGACTTTCAGGCGTGGTTGCGGTTGAACTGAGTTGAGCTTCTTGATAAAAATGCCATGAGTCGAAGTGCCTTTGAGATATCGCATGAGGCGCTTTACACAACTCCAGTGTTTGGTGGTGGGTGCGTGTGTCGCTCTACACAGAAGATTCACGGTCGTAGTGATATCGGGACGAGTGCAGTTGGAGATTCACAATAATGACCCCATAACTTCTTGGTAGAGTCGTTTGTTTGAAAAGAGACTCGAGTTTGGATCGTATAGCTTGTGTTTTTCTTCCATTGGCGTCGAACGGGTAGTACAATTCGTCATTTCGAGCCTAGTGAGGAGAGCATCGATGTTGTGCTGTTGTTGAAGAAAGTAGCCGTAATCCGTTGTCTCCACATTAATACCGAGGCACTTGCTGATTAACCCCAAATCGTTGATGTCGAATTTATCGTGGAGCTGTTGCATAAGAGTCTCAGATAGGGAGTCATCCTGTGCAATTATAATGACATCGTCGACGTAAAGGCCGACAACTGTAGTGCCGATGGCTTCATGTTTGAAGTAGACGCACGGATCTTGGCGGCTTTGTGTGTAACCACACTCGAGAAGAAAGCTATGAATTAAGTCGTTCCAAAGTCGTCCGCTCTGTTTCAATCCGTAAAGGCTCTTCAGCAATCGATAAACTGCTCCTTCGGCTGGGGATCCGTGTGGCGGTTTCACGTAGATCGGGCGATCAATCGGTGCACGAAGGTAGGCATTGGGAACGTCACCATGGCGAACTTTACAGCCCCACTGAGCTCCAAGCGTAATAAGAAATCGCGCGCTTGCCATTTTTAGTACCGGAGAGTATGTTTCGCTGAAATCGACACCATAGCGTTGGGTGAATCCTCTTGCCACGAGCCGGGCCTTAAACTTGTCGAGTTCTCCCATCGAGTTGTATTTGATCTTGAAAACCCATCTTGTTGACACGACCTTGGCCCCAGGTGGTGGGACGGCTTCCTCCCATGTACCATTCTTACACAACTGGTCCAGCTCTTGGATCATAGCTTCCTTTAGCTGTGGCCAAAATGGACTTGCCATTGCTTCGCGAATATTTTTAGGGTCCGGAACACCATCAGAGATATGAAGGGCCATCATTGCTGCACCGGAAATACCGGTGACGTCGAGAAGAAGGGACGCAGGTAGCTCGAAGTCTTCAATGGGAAATTGAGCACCGCGCTTGTGGACCCCGAATACACTGTCGATTTGGCGCTTGGTAAGTGTGACGTCGTCAATTGGTTCGCCTGTCTTGAAGTCATCGTCGTCGTCGCTGCCTGAAACTTCACTGGTCCGATCAAGATGATCGGGTGATGGCTCCCCCTCAGACACTGGCGTGGTCTTGTGAAGAGCGTCGGTGGTAGCGGCACGATCGGACATTTGCTGAGCCTGGGGATGAAATGTGCTGGGGACAGCGTCAAGTGTATCGAAGGTGTCGACGAGGTCACCAGCGGCATCGATATCAACGCGATCGACATTTTGGATGTTGGAGCTGGTCAAATACGTCTTGGTACGGGGAAGATAGAGATTGTAGCCATTGTTAACGGGGTCGATGCCGAGAATGAGCGCCTGTTCGGAGCTTTGCAACTGCATGCTCTAGCCTTACGGTGCAGCGGGCACCGAATTTGAGCAAGTGGCTGACGTCGGGTACTTTTCCCGTAAGTACTTCGAGAGGTGAACGGCGGTCTGCATTACCGCGGGTAGGGAGGTAGTTGCGCATTGTGCTGGAGTAGAGTATAGCGTCTCTCCAAAATTATGTCTGCATACCAGATGACCAGAGCATTGCTCGAGTTGTATTAAACAGCGTGCGATGGAAGCGCTCGGCCTTGCCATTTTGAACGGAAGTGTCTGTTTCGGTTGTCTGGTGTAGGATTCCATGGCGCTGCAAATATTGCCTCATCTTGTCATTAACAAATTCACCACCAGGATCCGAACGAATGCATTTGACTCGAACATCAAATTGCCGTTGGAAATTTGCGTGAAAATTTACGAATTTGTCGAAGGCTTCATTTTTCGTTTTTAGCAAGTAGACATAGTTGTACCCAGAAGCATAGTCAACAATGGTGAGAACGTGCTTGTGTCCCTTCCGGTCGACTGAAGAGATGTTGATTTTAAGGTCTAAGCCGATGACGGCACCAACCTCGTCTGTAGGAGCTGATCTTGAAGTGTCTTGTTTACCTTGACGGTTGCGAGTTTGCTTAGCTTCAGCACACTGCAAACAAAAAGGCATGGTTCGATTTGTCAGCTTTATACCGGCCGCAAGCCACTTGTCAGCCATACGAACAACATTTTGGTAGTTCAGATGACCTAGCCGCTCATGCCACTTGCGAAGGGTGGAGCTTTCAATTCGAGCGAGAAAAGCAGCAGCCTCATCAGCAGTATCAGATATTGTGGAAAGTGACCAAAGACGTAATTCTCGAGGGGCACGGGCGATGATACGATCATCCGTAGAGAGCGTACAGTGACGGGAGAATGAAACCACAAAGTCTTGATCGATAAGCTTAGAAACAGAAAGCAGGTTTCGTGGCATAGCAGGGACGTAGTGCACATCAGTGAGCACAAATCGGGTGACCGTTCCGTTTGTGATCGTCTTTAGCAGTACGCTGCCTTTGCTAACGGCCTGAAGCACGGAACCATTTGCGACACGGACTCGTAAGAAACTGGGTGTGGGCGTGATAATTGCAGCTGCGTTGTTCGTAAAATGATGGGTAGCGCCGCTGTCAATAAGCCACTTTGTCGAAGTTGGCAACTTAGCGTCGCGGGATTGAAGTACGATGCATGCGTCAGCACCAATAAAGGCATTAGGGGTAGGAGAGTCCAACGGAGATCCATGATCGATACACTCTTCTGCCGACCCGAGAAAAAAACATTCCCCAGTTGAGTCGATAATTGTGTCGTCAGCACCCTCGACGACATACGATTCGGCGGCATGATCAGTAGGGCTTACTGCGGTGGCAACGCTGGCTTGTCCGACTCGGCGTTGAGCGTCTGGGATCACTGGGCAGTCAAATGTTTTGTGTTCTGTCGTCTTGCAGACCCAGCATGGTTTAATGCCGTCTTTGGGTCGCGAGCGACTCGTAGAGCTGTACTGAGGTAATTTAGGTTTCGCTGATACTTGCGTAGATGCTGTCACTGAAGCTGCAGAGGCTCTATTTATATTTGCCTTTGCATTTGAAGAACGCTGGCTGTGGCTACTCGACTTGCGGCCATCACCCAAAAGCTTCGTCAGGAGCGTAAAGGCTTTATTTATTTCGTCGTTGATGTTGGTAGCGTTATAGTCGATGACGCTGGCGAGCTGAAGCTGGATCCCTGGATCTGTGGAGGCATTTTTGCAAAATGCTTCCAGGATAAGGGCGTTTTGATCACCGCCCATTTCTTTCCCAACGTGGCGCAGATATGCGTAGTACCCGTGCCATGTTTGCTCTGGTTTCTTAGGCTTGTTTAGATAGTCGCTCAGGCGTGATTGCGATAGCTTGCACCGGAACTCTTCACGCAAAGCTGCTTGGACTTCTTGGTACGAAGGATTGCGGTTGTGTGAGTCGATAAACTCGTCCAGGAACTGAAAATAAAAGTCCGAGGCGGCGCCGTCAAGAAAGGTGACGAGAAATGTCTCACGTAATTCATCCGTATACGTTGAGTTGTTACGTCGACTTTCACTTAGAATGGCTTGTTTAAACTTGCGCATAAAAAGATCAAAGCCGCCCCCTAGACCAGGGTATTTATCCTTGCCGGTAAACATCTCACACTTGACTTCCTTGATCCGGGATACCGTATGTAACGCTAGCACTGGAGGTGCGAGGACAGGACTTGAAGCTGGCGATGGAGAACTTGGGTCTGGAGATAAATTTGGAGATAGAGCTAGTCCTGGAGATGAACCTGAATTTTGCGGTGGTGGTGTGTTTTGTGTCGGTGCTGGCGACCGTTGGGTGCGCGGTGGCACAAAATCATAGGTCGGAAGTGGCACTTGAGCTTCTTGATGAGCCGGATTAATCGAAAGGTTTTCAGAATTAATAGGTGAAGGTTGATCACGGTCCATACGTGATGTGTGGGTCGAAAGTGGAGGCAGTGTATCGCGCAATAATACTTCGTAGCGATATTGCAGGGACTGAAGTCGTTCTTCTAAGGAAGCTCGAGTCGCTATTTCTGCAGTCAGGCGATCTTCGGCAGCATTGGCTCGAGCGGTTTCTTGTACCAATTTAATCTCCATGAAATTTTTTATGTGTTGGGCTTCAGTAATACGACTTAGCGCCTCTTCCTGGGCGACACGATAATGATCAATTGATTTTGTAAGCTGGTCTCGAATTTCGTGCTCGGCTTGAAGTGTGCAGGCCAACGAATCCTGAGCAGATTGACTGATAGTTTGATGCTCAGTTAAAGCTACCATGGTCTTGACATGCTCGGATTGAAGACGTTCGCTGCGCTGTAAGAGACGAGTAATTTCTTGATGGAATCGTTCCGCGACTACTTGGTGCTCTGCGCGGCAGTTGTTTAGTGCCGTTTCATTATGTTGCTCGGCTCTCTCAATTTGTTCTTGTAGTGCTCGTGTGCGTTCAACCAATGCTGTATTTGCTGCAGTTGCCTCAGCGGTTTTACTGTTGAGTTGTGTGTTGAACTGGATGCGTTGATTGGCGATGTCTTCAATTAGCTTAAAAAGGTGTTCGATAAGTTGGTTTACCGTATCTTGCAGTGCATTGCGCTGATCTCGAACTGTTGTGACGTCATGCTGGAAGGTCTGTAGTAAATTGTGGAGCTCCTTATTGTGATGTGTGAGGATTCCGATTTGGTTTGGAGTTGCAGTGACAATTGTTGAAGCATTGTCTTCTCCAGCCACAGCTTCTTCATTGACTAACGTGGCTTGCAATTCGAGTGGGAAAGTAGCAATCATGGCGCTGGCTTCAAGAACGGCGTTTGTTGCGCTCATAAAAAGCTGTTGGATTTGCGGAACGGATGCGAGCTCAATTGTTTGAAGCAAACGCGCTTGAACCATCATTACTGATGCTGCTTCAGTGAGGGCTGTCGGGCCCGCGAGCGTGGAAGAGGTGTATTTTTGGCTCGCTGATGTAATACTCATAAGGGAAGTATCTGATGAGGAAGGGCTGGATCGAGTCAGATGGCTCTCAGGCATTGAAGTGTCATTGTCATCGACCAGAGGGTCCATGATGTTCTTCTTTCAAACTCTGGGAAGTGGTTTTGGGCTCAGAACCAGTTGGCAGAGGACTTTAGATAGAAGAAGATTGTGTATTGTTCCCGTGAGGGTTAATCCCAGAATGAGATGTATAGAAGTGCAGTTGTGTTAATCTGCCTGTAACATGTAATGATGTAGATCGTGACATCACGAAAGAAGGTAATGGATGATCTGGGGCCTTGGTGATAGTACCACTGTTGACTTGAAGTTTCAACTGTAAGCCCGTCATGTAGAATGTCCTATTGACCCAGGTAAATGAATATATATGATCTATACATTCGAGTCGATTCGCTTATTGTACCTGCATCCAGTTCAACCTGATCAATACGCTTTCTTTTGCCACTATTAGTGTATTAGTTGAGCACGGAGCCCATGTTTTAAAAACGAATCAAAAGCATGTGTCTCATCTACTATTATAAAAAAGCTGCGTTTATTATTGCAATAGGAAAGGATGCATATGAACATTTAAGTGTGCCATCGTTTCGTATATTCTTTATATAGATAGAAGCACGACATAAGGACACCCGGGGATGAACTAAATTCTTTCACGGAAATCTGCTCACGTAACAATATATACAAAATACACATACAACACATATGGGTCACATCACTTATTGTAAGCAACTTTAATACAACCTGATGAGATCGCTTGCTTTTGCCAACTTTCTAGTGTATTATTTGAGCACTGAGCCCATGAATTAAAACGAGTATAAAGCATGTGTTTCATCTTATATTTATAAATAAGCTGTGCTTTTATCAAATATGAACACGTATGTGTCCAATCGTATCGTATATTCGTTTTATAGATAGAAGCACGACCTATGGACACTCTGTTATGGAGATCGCACATGTAATTATCGATACAAAAATGCATAGTCAGCCATTGCAAAATGAGCCAAAAATGCATAATCAGCCAATCCAAAATTAGCAAATAATGCAAAAGTAGCCAATCCGAAGGCCGGAAAAGGATCAAACAGACAGACAGACGGACAGTATTCTTTTATTATATAGACGAGGGTACTTACCCGTCGTTCCGACGGGTACCCCTACTGTACATGTATACTGGTCAATCACTCTGCTTCGAATATCAGGTTAAATTAGGTAATAGGTATTGAAGTCAATGTGTATTTAGGCCAATGTAAACCCGTCGTTCCACCGGGTAAACATTAGCGAATTTCTGTAACGCTATAATATACAGTGACATGCCAGTTGGTATGACAGATGGTATCTGACATGCCAACAGTTGACAGGTTATGACAGCACGTTAGGTTAAGCACGATAGGACTTATGGTTGTTTAATGAATTCATTCTCTTTTCTACCTACATCTCCAGAAGCCTCTCCAGCAAGCTCTCGGAGCCGATTGCCCCTCTGCCAGCCAAGGGCGTGTCATTTTGAAATTTGAAATTTGAACTCAAGAGAATTAAATCCGTAATCAAAACAATATTATCATGTGCAGATACGATGAAAACGACTACGTCACTTATACGGTGGTGATCTCACCAGCCCAAGACGGAATCCCGGCTGATACCATGCAAGTTAAAATGAACAAGTTTAAAGGAGGAAGTCCGCGGGACTATCTCAAGTGGAGTTGTGACTTCCAAAGCCTTGCAAAGAAGAAAGGGTGGAATGATGAGCAAAGAGCCGTAACCTTATAGATCTGATTGAGGGGGACCTCGCATACGACGTAAACCTCTTGGTGATCGAAGCAAGAACCAATAGTTGGACTTTTGACCGTTTCTTTACCGCTGTGAGGCTGCTCTCAGTACCAGAAGATTTTAGCGAAGATCTGGACAATGAATTATGGAACATGACAAAGCGACGGGATGAAAGTGTCCTAAAGTTTTCTCAGCGTTTTCGTGAAAAATTCGTTTATTCGTTGAGCTTCCGCAGGACGCGGAGGTGATACCAGATGTGCAAATGCGCCGCTACTTCAAGCGAGGGATTCCGACATCATGGCAAGATAAGTTGGCAGCGGTGGGTGTCATCCCTGATACGCTCAACGAAATGATACTTTACTTTTTACGCCTTGAGAAACAAGAAAGATTACACAAGGGGTCATCTTCACAAGAAGGCCATAGAAACAAAGGCGGTCGCAACAAGGATCACGCACGTAATAGTGAGCACAAGAGCCCCTACCAACCCAGCAACAAGAAGCAAGTAACAAAGTACACGGCGAAGTCCGAAGGAGATAAGTGGTGCTCTTATCATAAGACACGATCGCATAATACTAGCGATTGCTTTGCCCTCAAAAAGCAAAAAGAGGAGCACTCGCAAGTGGAGGAAAAAGTTGAAGAATATAAATACCCAATAATATTCAATGAGGAAGACTCAAGCAGTGACGACGAGTGCAAGCTTATTGGACTAGTTCAGCATACACCGAAGATAACAACAGCACCGCTTCGCATCACAGCCCAGCTCCGACACGACAAGAACCACTTTAGTGCGCTTCTGGACACGGGCGCCTCAAGAAGTATTGTCAATAAGTCTTTTGTGGATGCGAGCACGAAATACGGATATAAGGTGGAATCACATACGGTTACGGTGTTTAAAACCATAGGCCAAGAGGTAGCTAGCAGTGGGACCATAGTCGCCCAATTTCGCTTTACGCAATTAAAGCCTGAATCAGTCATCACGCACCGCTTTCAAGTGGTTGAGGCCAGCAAAGATACTATGGTAATTGGACGAGATCTTCTGCAAGCGCTGGGAATTACGATAAGTTTTCGAGACCGGACTGTTCAATGGGAAGATCAGTGTATAACTATTAACACTGGAAAGACCATTAACGAACCGCCCCAACTAGCCGCCGACACAGAATGTCTGGAAGAGTATAAAGAGCTAGCGGATTCAGCTGCTGATCCAAAAGACTTGCTTCCAGAACATCTCGATACCGACGTCTCCAGGCAGTATTTGGATCTGCTCGAGAAGTATCGCCATTTATATGACGGTCATTTGGGACGCATGCGGTTCGCTGATTACGTGTTACCACTGTCACCAGAGTATAAACCAGTACACGCCAAGCCTTATCCGATCCCACGCAGCCTCGAGAATGCAGCAAAGGCAGAGATCCAGCGTCTTATTAAGCTGGATGTACTGGAACAAATTTACAATTCTGAAATGGCTAGTCCAGCCTTTTTTGTGCCTAAATCAAATGGTTCACTGCGACTTCTAATTGACTCTCGAGTGCTAAACCATTGGCTACGTCGAAGTCCATACTTCGTTCCTCGAATCCGCGAGATTCTGCTACGTCTCGCAAATGCACGATGTATAACAACACTGGATGCCAACATGGGATACTACGCTAGACAATTGGATAAAGAAAGCCGTCCGCTTACTGCTTTTTGTCTACCATTCGGTAAGTATCAGTACAAGCGTCTGCCAATGGGAATTTCTACCGCACCTGACGAATATCAAGCCTGCATGGAAAAGATATTTGGCGATCTGGAATTCGTCGTTGCATATTTGGACGATCTGCTAATTTTTTCCCGTAATGAAATGGAACACTTAGAGCATCTTCGGGTGGTGTTCGAGCGACTTGACCACATTAAATGGAAAAAAATGTCATCTTTTACGACCGGAAGTAGATTACCTGGGCTATACACTGACTGCGGACGGCATGAGGCCGCAAGCAAAAAAGATTCAAGCAATCAAGCAGCTTGCGATACCGCGAAAGAGAAAAGATCTTCGACGATTTTTGGGCATGATTAACTATTACCGTGACACGGTGCCAAACAAAACCGCATTGTACCAGCCATTGCATCGATTGACAAGTGCAAAGGTTCCGTTTACATGGCTTCTAAGTGATACGAAGGCATTTCGGGATATACAAAGAGCATTTGCGGAGGCAGTTCTCCTAGCCTTTCCCGACTTTACGAAACCATTTCATTTGTATGCCGATGCCAGTGGAAAACAACTTGGTGGCATCATCATGCAAGATCACAAGATCATCGCATGTTACTCTCGTGCACTCAATAAGAACCAGCTTAACTATACAACGATGGAACTAGAATTGCTTTCGATTGTAGAAACACTCCGGGCATATCGAACTATGCTTCTGGGATTTCCAATTGTGGTCCATACGGACCATAAAAACCTTATTTACCCCACGGAAACGAACATGCGGTTTAAACGCTAGAAATTGCTTCTATCCGAGTATAAACTGACGATGCACTACATCAAGGGAGACAAGAACATTGGAGCAGAAACATTCTCGAGAATGCAATATGAAACTACGCAGAACAAGGTGACATCAATAGACGAGATATGCGCTGTCACAGATGACCCTCCGTGTGTGATGCATGGCCCGGTGCTTAGACAACATCAAGACAAAGACCCGATGATTCAACAAATTAAGTCAGCATGTCTATCAGGCTCAAACAACCCGGATTATCAGATTGTTTCACTTCTCGGATGCAATTTGGTGACATACCAAAAACGAGTAATTATTCCATCCACGCTCCGGGATGACTTAATACATTGGTATCATAGCAGCCTCGGACATCCAGCTAGCAAACGTCTGTACAAGACTATGCGCCAAATTTTGTATTGGCCCAGCATGGAAGCGACCATTGTGGACTTTATTAAGAGATGCTTGGTGTGCAAGCGTGCAAAAGTGCATGGTGGCAAACAAGACTATGGTTTACTGCCACCAAGGACTATGAAAACCGTTAACCCATTTGATTCTACAACCCCGGCGATCACATCATGCTCCGTGTTCCCAAAAACTTTCGCGCAAAATTACATGCAGTTTCGCAAGGACCATATTCGATCCGAACTGTTCATAACAATGGAACCGTCACAATCGACAAAGGTGCATCAACTGAACGAGTTAGCATTCGCCGCATCTTTCCGTGCTAAGTGTTCAGCCTAGTGCTTCATGGGAGGAGTATGACATGCCAGTTGGTATGACAGATGGTATCTGACATGCCAACAGTTGACAGGTTATGACAGCACGTTAGGTTAAGCACGATAGGACTTATGGTTGTTTAATGAATTCATTCTCTTTTCTACCTACATCTCCAGAAGCCTCTCCAGCAAGCTCTCGGAGCCGATTGCCTCTCTGCCAGCCAAGGGCGTGTCAACAGTCATTTATTTGTAGATTAATGCCTAAATCCTGATGAATAGATGGATGATTGCACCATGTTTTATCGACCCACCTCTTTTATGGTGTACACCCGTCGTTTTGATGGAGCAAAGTAGAATGAATTGGCATCTTAAAACGCAGCTATTTGCTAGGGTGTTCACCCGTCATTCCGACGGACACAATGCGCAGATTCTACGCCGGTAGTATATTGACTTCATATTGTCGTTTTATTTGGGTGAAAAAAGTCTAATTATGTTATGAATTTCAATGTGTGCCCGTGGTTCCGACGAACATGGTGAGCAAAGTTTGTCTTGTAACTTGTTTTCTTGTCTTTTATTATATAGATAATAATATTTTTATTGACACTTCATACAAGTGTCAATATTATGTAACGGGCTCACCCCGTTACAAGTTCCTTAGAACTAAGTGGCTTTTAGCTGTAACTTTATTTAGTTCTCTAGAACTAAGAGGATTTCAGCCTAAAGTCTTTCTCTAGCTAAAGAGCTGTGCAGCTCCGCTACAGCTACCTTGCATTACGCGATGAGGTTACAGGCGCCGAAGAGTTGTTTATTTTTGAAGAGATATAAACATTTAACGCCATACTATTTTTATGATATTGTCTCGGAACGACATTAAAACGAACAATTACAATTTTGGTATCAAGTACACGTTCATTAACTTCATTTAACCTGTCATCAAGAAATTGTATTCTTTGCATATAGTACACAGCCAGGTGACGACACATTGAAATCTAACACAACTAATAACATCTGGCTATATATTGCGTAATCAAAGGCAGAGCTTGCATGGGAAGAAAAAGCAGTTCTTGCTGACTTGCAACAACTTGTTTCACGCTACGAATCCTACAGTGTATTTGCTACAGTGCGTTCATCTAGTGATGCGGAACGAGCGCACCCTGTCAAGCAGTTCTTGGGCCTCACCCTTGCCAAAGTGCTCACGAACGGGTTCCAAAATCCTACAAGACAAAGCAAAGGCAAGAAAAATATTAGTACAGTGACAAGAAGAATAACAAAACACCAGCAAACCAGGACGTACTCGTTCAGATAATTGGTCAGTGCCGTCTTGAGATCGGCACCATTGATCTGACGCGCAACGAAGGCGTCTTCAAGCTCCTGGTACGCTGTAAATGTTTTCTCCACACCATCCACATGCTTCACCATCACGCCTTGTGCAGCGAAGCGCGGGCAGATGATGTGCTTCATGTAGTCTAAGATCGGGTTCGCGTCCACGACTCCCTCCGGGCAATAAGCCTTCTCAACCTTTCGGCTCACGTCGTCTGCGGCATCTTCCATAAAGATGGCTGATTCTGGGTCACTCTTGGACATCTTCTCCTGACCCTCTTTCAGACCCATCAGCATATGGTGGCTCAGAATGACAGGCTTGAAACGGATCTTCGCTTGGTCGCAGTAGTCGCGCGCGAGCATATTGATCTTGCGTTGGTCGATGCCCAACTGGCAGATGTCGGCCTTTAAATTAAAAATGTCAGCGCATTGCATCAGCGGGTAGAGAATCTGTGCAGCCTGCATGCCTTCCTTCTCTTTGCGGCCCATAATTGTACAACACTTCAGCGTACGAGCAATGGTCGTGCGGCGAGCAATGTCCATTACGCGCAGCCAGTACGAAGCGCTGTGACAAACAATCTCCTCCGACGCCCACAAAAACTCCACGTTCGTCATGTCCATGCCCACAGACTTCCAAATCTCGACCATATACTGACCCACGAGACGAATCTTGTCCAGATCGCCACCCATTTTGTTGTTCAGCATGGCGAACCAATCTGCCACCCAAAAACGAAAGACACTGCCAGTTGACGTAAGCTTGTTCACGTTTACCGTACGCAGAACACCCTGAGCGATGTGCATGCGTCCCGACGGCTCAAAGCCATCATAGCACACGGGGTGGTCTTTTTTCTCCATTAGAGCTTGCAATTCGTTCTCCTGGATGCATTCCTCGCCTACTGAGCGCGCCACTGCATAGCGCTCCTCAAGCGACAGCGCGGACGGCTTCCACGTCTTGAGAGCCTCTGAAAATCCTGGCAGCGAGAGATTAACCAGCTTGTCGCTGTCAGGCATCGGGGATACCTTAAGCTTCTTGATACTCGATAGCAGCGTCTTGAGAGGGCCGCTGGCGAAGTGCTGGCGCACGGGCTCGAGTAGCGCATTTAGGTACTTGGCCAAGCACGGCTTCAAGTCCGCTGGGTGCACCTTCTCACTCTGCGAACGCCGCCTCCAGCTCTTCGTACGTAGCAAAGATAAGGTTGCCACCGTTATTATCGCTACGCTCTAGCGTGACACCCTCCGCATAGAAAGGGAACACCAGGTATTTCATGTAATTCAGGACCGGATTGCCTTTCACCACGCCAGGGACACAGTAGGCCTTCTTAATCTTCGTCTTAACCTCGGCAGCTGTGTCATCAACGTAGACAGCTGACTCGGCGTCCGTTGTGGTCATCTTGAACTGATCCTGCTTCAATCCAAGCAGCAGCGGGTGTGTGAGGAACACTGGCTTGTTCGGAAGCTCCTTCTGCGCGATATACTCGCGGATGAGTTCATTGCTATGTTCTTGGTCGGCTCCGTGCTGGTAAATATCAGCCTGAAGTAACAAACCGTCAGCAAGCTGCATCAGCGGGTACAGGATACGGTTGGTGTTGCACACAGCGTCATCCTCTTTGCGACCCATGATAGGCGCACACTGCTGCACACGCTCGACTGTGAAGCGTCCAGCGGCGTCCAGCACCTGCGACCAGTAGACGCTAGCGTGTCGTGCGGTCTCCGTGGAGGCCAACATGATCTCAAAATTCGACATCTTATTGATGTCAAGACCAAGCGCTTTCCACACCTCTACCATGTAAGTGCTGACGATTTGAAGCTTCTTTAGGTCGCCGCCAAACTTGTTATTGAGCAGCGCGTGTGAGTCTGCCACTAGCAGACGAACATGGCAGCCCGCGTCCATTAGTCGCTTGACGTTAAGCACACGTAGCAGGCCAGCAGCAAGTGTCACGCGGCCAGAAGGTTCAAAACCATCGTAGGCGATGGGATGCGGTTTTTCAGAGAAAAGCGCGCGTAGCTGAGTCTCAGCCTCACTCGACAAAGGAGCGCCAGTAATAGCCGCGAGCTTGGCAAGCTTTTCGTTGATGGACAGAGCAGAAGCCTCAGAGGCAGCAGGAACGGATGATTCCAGCGTCAGGACAGAAAAACACTTTTGCACAGCAATGTCGGCGGGGGCGGGTAGTGACGTCGCCATCAGATAGATTAAAGTGAGTGGCTGGATAGAATATGGCGTGTAATAATGTCGTGTGAAGGTTAGCCCAAAAACCTGGTCTCTTTACTTCAGTCTGTGGCGGGAGTGGATCCGATCGGTGGCTTGCTGACGCGCCCTCTCAGCAACGTGGCATCTTTTCCTTCAACTGCCGCTTGGCGGTCGCCATATTAGTTGTACCCTTGCTGTCCGACTAGTCAGTTCATTGCGTGTCACTAGCAGTTTGTAACGGTCATATTATTTAAAAAGTCAAAAGCTGACGGAAGCAAGTTCTTTCGCCTTTGCCGTGAATATGCGTGTATTGAGTCATGCCTGGCCATTTCGGCACCATCAATGGCCTGCCGAATGAGTACGGCAGCTTGGGCCAATTGAGCATTCCTGTCGTTGTATAAAGTATCAGCGATTAGATATGCCAAGGTGTCTATTCTCTACTATTTCCATATTTAGCACGCAGTTCATTCCTTTTTTTGTAATTTACGACTTCCATCGCCGTAGCTAATGGCAGCATCAATGTTTTGTAACCTTACATTTTTAGCCTATACCACTGGACTTTACCCGTGTTAGTCCAGTAGCTGCGACAGGCCTTTTTAAACGGACTTTGTGTGCAGCGCACGACGTGCTCCATTCGCGGTCTTTCTCCGGCAGTCTGAAGTAACACTCTCTCCTGATTAATTCAGTCGCCTCTTAGCATGTGTCTGTGCTCGTTCAACCTCCAGCCGTTTCTGCCGCAATGGGCGTCTAGGTGCAATCACGCGGAGACGCGCAAGCTCGGGACCGTCAAGTCCTCGCGATCTCGACGCAAGGTGCGTGTTTGCCACAACAAGCGCGCGTGGAGAGACAGCCTCATCTACTCCAATCTGGTGTATGCGCTGGCAGCGATCATTTCATTCAGCTGTGACCAGCACTTCTGTGGTGTACTGCAGATGGGCGCGGCCATCGCGTCCACCATGTTCCACCGCTCCAAGGAGACCAAGTATCTGCTACTGGATGCACTCATCAGTGGTACGCTGGGTCTTATCTTTGTGTTTACCGGACAGCGCACGCTATCTAACGCGTGGTACGGTATCCTGGCTGTGAAGGTGCTGCTGGCCTCGCTCTGCGCCTTCACGTGGCTCTATTGTGGCTTACCCGGCGGCGAGCGCTACGACAAGTGGCACAATCGGTGGCACTACGTGTCGGGCGCAACAACGATTTCAACGACGTTGTTTCTGACCATGTACCTGCCAGAGTTTGACGTGCTTGTGCACGAGCTCACTCATGACCTCATTCAAAATGTAATGATTGTCAGTAGCATGTGTATCTAAGGGCAAGAGTGATCTAACTGCGACCATAAAGCCTGTCTTAGGCAAGGCCAGGTATTACTTGCGATACGTGGCGGTAGTCGATATGCATTACGGTTTAGGCGCCACTTTGATCAGCTGAAGTGGTGAGCCATCCGCAGGCTATCGAGTAGCTTCCTTCTACGTTCACGCTACTACATTTACCACAAGATTTACCAACACTAGATTTACAAATCTTTATTCACTACCATCATGTCTGGCATCATATGCACCATCATCTTCAAGACAATTGTAGCTTTAAAGATAGAGGAAAAGGTCAGATGAATCTCTTTTTAATAGAATCGTGTCACATAACGAATTGTGCTTAACTTCATGGACATCGTAGGGCGGTTATTGTGAATGTATCTTAAACCGAATGCGACGACGTTGCATGTTATGTACGACTATACAGAACTGTTAAATATGCGCTGCCTACACTGGCTTTTCATATGTAATGACTCTAGGGCGAATAATTTGGTCAACAGCTGCCTTTGAACCCATGTTTATCTTCTGTCAAAAGTGTTCAATATGAATACAGACTGGTCTTGCTTTTTTTTGCAACCTACCGTAACTGTGCTTCTCTTTTCCTCATTTCTTTCTTGCTCCACATCGACGTAGAGGGTGTTTATCGTTCAGATCAGCGCTAGTATCTTGAAACTTGTCAAGTTCATTCCAGTAACTTTACCGACATTTACGCGCGCCGTATTTATAGTCAGAGTAGTTACGGCATTGAATTGCGCGTTTCTCTGGTATCTCTTTCCGGCGGCATTTATTTTTAACGGCGACCTATGGCTACCAAGCTAAACGCATTCCTGGCCTCCGTGCCCGCTAACGCCAATGTGTCTAGCCCGCCAAATTCAGCATCGGCCGTGCTGGACTTTTCACAACTGGAGTCCACGGTGGCACCCGAGAACGTCGGCCCCATCTCGCTGACCACGCTGCAATCGCCGATGACGCGTCATCGTCACTTGTCGTCGCAGCGTACACACAACGCGAGCCCGAAGCTTTCGGTAGACTCGACCATCCTCAGCCAAAAACAGGACCGACCTGAGGACGACAGGAACTTGGCACAGCCATCATTGCTTAAAACTTTTATGGCGACCCAGGCGGCTGCGGCCAAAATGAAGGTGCAAATGAAGACACATGATGTGCCGGTGCCTGATCTTAGGCGAAGAAGCAGCAGTACGGATTTGGACACCAAGACGGAGGCGGGTCCCCTGCGCATGACCAGTATGCAGGGCTCGCACCGCCGTCGTGTATCCACTGACACGACGCTTTTTAACCGCTATTTACGACAACAAGCAGATCGCGATATCAGCCACGAAACAGTGCAGCACTTTGCCAACGTACCTATTATAACTGCCACTGCAGCATCGCCCGACGCACTGGGGAGCGAGATGGTCGTAGACAACAACGCCGAGATGGAGAACGCTGTGCACATGATGGTACCCGAAGAAATTCTGGCTGTTTTTGGACTGGGAGGTACGATTCCTGTGTCTAGTGCGCTGGAGATTATACGACGTGGTACAATGCTTATGTCATTGGAGCAGAATGTCATCTCTTTACGTGCACCGTACACTCTCGTGGGCGATCTCCATGGCCAATTCCAAGACTTGTTGGAGCTCTTCCGCGTACACGGCTCTCCGGCTGTAGACAATCCGTTTCTGTTTCTTGGAGATTATGTAGATCGCGGTATTTCTTCTTGCGAAATAATTTTGTTGCTGCTGGCATATAAGATAGCTTTTCCCGAGAGCGTGCATTTACTGCGTGGTAACCATGAGTGCCGGAGTTTGAGTACGTTCTACGGATTTCGAGTCGAATGCCTCCAGAAATATGGGCCTGTGGTGTATAACCGCATGATCAAATGCTTTGAAAGCATGCCACTGGCCGCACGACTCGAGACTGCTCACGGCACATTCCTTGCCGTACATGGCGGGCTGTCACCGGACATCGTCTTTGTGGAGGATATTAACGGCCAAGTGAACCGCTTTATGGAGCCAGAACCGAACGGAGCTCTATGTGATTTGTTATGGTCAGATCCAGCTAAGGGTGAGGCACAGAAGCATGAGTGGGCACCTAATGGCATTCGTGGCTGCTCTTTTACGTTTAACGAGCACGCGTGCCGCGAGTTTTTGCGCCGTAATAATCTCCTCGCTGTTATCCGCGCTCACGAGCTGGCAGAAGACGGCTACAAAGAACATTTTCGTCACGAAGCAGACCGATTAGAAGAGAACAAGGCTGGAGACTTGGTTTTGCCTGCGGTTGTGACGGTGTTTTCAGCTCCAGAGTACTGTAACACAAATCACAACGTTGGAGCGACTCTAAAGATTCCATGGGAAAAGCAAAATGGCCGCCTGCTGCAATACCAGCAGCACAAGCGCAGTCAGTATCTCGAGTTTGAGTTCACTAGCCCGAGCGAAGATGAGGCAGTCACGGCATTCTTGGAAAAGAATCTACCGTTCTTGCCGATTGACTTTTACGATTTGGTCAATGTGTGTCGACAATTGCGGTCCACGCTTAAACGGGCAGCCAGTACTACGTCGGATTCGTCTCTAAAGTTGTCGTTGGTTTCTTCGCTGTGTGCACCATCTACAGACCCTGAAACAAAGATCAAGGAAGACGTTGAGCTCTTCGTGGCCTCGCCTAGTTCAGCTTTGGCAACTGGTGCGAAAGGCAAGGACAACGAGCATAGCGCTAGGGGCGCTTGCGAGGTAGTTGGCGAATCGTTGCAGGATTGGGAACTCGTTGCGGAAACAAAATGTATTGAGGGTGCAAACGCCAGGAAGCTGGAGAAAGACATGAAGACTGAGAAAAAGGAGAAAAAGTTAAGGGAGAAGCTTGAAAAGAAGAAGCAAAAGGAGAAGAAGTGGATCACAAATCGAATCGTGAGTGGCTGGAAGTTTTGTCCTGGATTCGTGCGCCTCTACGACCGATATTTCGCCCATGACAGTGTGAATAAGTGCGGGCCAGAGATTGCTTCCCCTTCAAGCCATTTAGGCAAGAGGGTACCGTGGATACCTTCTTTAAAGCGCTCAACTTCCACTCATGAGGCCGTAACGGAAAGTGGTACTAACGACACTGTTACGGAAACTAGTGGTCGGGTTCGACGCAAGACTATGACGGACTGGATACCAATGCCTTCTTTCGAGCGTGTGGCGCAACTTACCAACACCCTTCAGGGTCACATTCCTGTTCAGGGAAGCGGCATTAATGTATTTACGAAGGCGCAATGGCAAGCCTTAAAGCTGTGTTTTTCGATCCTGGACCTCGACGGTAGTGGTGTTCTCGTGGAAGAGAGCTTTGTTGTTCTTCTCGCCGAACAAGATACCGGTGCGAGTTGTTTCTGTAATTGTCGGTCGTTTCCATGGCATGGCGCGTTCGGTACTGACTGTTTTTTTGTGATGCGCAGATGCTTACGCGACCGAAGATGAGTTGAGTCTTTTGATGGAAGTCATGGACTGCAATGCAGATTGTATGATTACTGAGCAAGATTTTTTGCTATTCGCATACCGCGCTTTGCTGCGGTGGAAAAGGGCTCTGCACGGTTCTGGTAAGTAGATACCAAAGCGATCACGACTAGTACTGTATGAACCTGTGGTAGAATTGAATTTATATCGTCCGCCCTTGTATGAAGGAAATATCTACGAGCTGAGAACGTTATAAATTCATCGAATTACGATAGCTCGAAAATGGCAGAAAGTATTATTGAAGTATTGTACAAGTGCTGTTTTGGATTTGGAAAGCGCGTTGCGAGTCATATTCGTCATTAATTAGGCGGCAGCGACACTGCTGCCTTTGAATTTTTGTCGGTGGTTGTAGAAAGGCCTAAGAATGTGTTGGTGTGTCTTCCAATAGCGGGCATTAGCCTATGGGATCCAGGACAGTGATAGTGGCGTTTCGAAGCGAGCGAGCGAGCGATCTCAGAACATAATGATCCTATGTCGGTGACCACATTGATGTCCGTGATAGTTACATATCCGTTTAAGCAGGAAGCGTTTGAGTGCGACTTGCTCCGCTAGAAAGCTCGTCAAAGCCTGGGGATTCTGTTCTCCTAGATGGCGCGAACAGCTTAATCTCATACAGCGCCGTCCTCTTTTATTTAATCGGCGAAAAAAATAAACACTATGGGTGCAATCGAAAGTTGACTTAACGTTCAAGGCCATCACTTTGATTTGATAGTCAGGGCAATTACGGTTTGCTTTCTGGATTTCAGAATCCACGGCGTCGCAGTCCGATTTCAGGATGCTGTCTCAGTCAGTTAAGTCGTTAATGACGAGCCGTAGAGGAACGAAAAGTCATAATTGTGTCTACCGCCGTAGAGAAGGGGTCATTACGATGACAAAGTAGCGAAGGAAATTCTTATAAGGTCGCAAGATGGACTTGAATTGCTACGCTGGCGCACATATAAGTACACCTTCGAATCATTGTTCTCCACGAAATCATACGCAAGGCGTAAAATGCGTGGCATTTTTTCATGGATGCGAAGCCACTCTAGTAGGGGCCTGAAATTATCATCAGCTTATTTAAGAGTAGCCGACAAAGGTAGCGAAAAGATGTCGGTTTTCGGTGGACAATGAACACCGCCAGCTCTTCAGAGGATTCGAAGACGTTGAGGGAAGACATGCTGAGAATGAGTCTACAGCTCAAAGGACGAAGAGAATTATGAGCATTGTGAGAACCAGAATGACGCGAGCAAGCGGTCTGCAAGGTCTGAGAGCGTTAGTGCCAAGAAGAACGGTATCCGATTGTTGGACGTGACGCCGCTATCTGTGGAAGGCAAAAAACGAACGCCAACAAAGATTGCTGCTTGATGGTCAGCAATGAGCGGTTCACTAGTTCGCCGTCATGAATGGCCACGGTGGCTCGTGGGCTCGTGATTTCATTGTGGATGAGCTGTATAAAACGCTGGACGAAGTGTACGACGACCGGTCGACCACACCCAGCTTACTAGATCCATAGAGGAGCTAGGCCGCAATTTTTGCGCTCTGGCCACGCTGAATATGGACATGAGTGGGGTTTGCTTTCTTATCGTCCTGCTGTATGATAAGCGGAACCCTTTTGGACTATCGGTGACATCGATATGAAAGGCCCTGATATGAAAAATTGGGTGATTGCAACGCTAGAGGTTTTGTCAGAGTGAGCTCCTCGTTGGTCGCAGCATCGTGGTCATCGCTATGGTAGTATCTGGACGGCTTTAATTCACGACTGCACAATGGTGCTCGTAAAAAAAGAACACAACGCAACGAGGTCAAGGTCATCAGTCGAATTTGCTGTCCAAGCTATCGTCAAAGAGGCTCAAAACTTCGGAAGCTGCAACGTGAACAAAGTAGCAAATCTTTTTGCATTAGCAATAAACTGCAACTGATTCTACTTGTTACCACGACTCACGTCCTCACCACTGCCTTCCACGCATCGTCAAACTTCATCCCCTCGTCCAGCTTGCTCTGCACGGCGTTCGTCACGTCTACTCCGTATAGACACTTGAGCACTTCGAGGCTAGGCGTGTTTGTACGTGGACGGTACGTCTTGTGCATGAGCGCCGTGTAATTTGGGATGCGTTCAAGCTGAAGCAGGTCCTCTCGGACAGGCATAATGTACACTTGGCACGCGACCGTCTGGTGCTTAAGTTCCCCCTCCACGACGTTCACGTGGATCTCCTCTCGCACGTAATATTTATCCTTTACGGCTTCCAAAATGTCCAATGCCGTCAGCACATCGGTGTCTACGCGGTAGATTTCTCCAGGAACCTGGTAGCCTTCGGTGTGCGCCCGATACAGACAAGGCACGGACCGGTCGGGGTCCAGCACCAGATGAAACTCGGCGCAGGCTGTGAGTCCTGTGCCCATGAACGCCACCTTGCCTTTTAATTCTGCCGGCTGCAAGTATCTCTCGTAGTTAATGAGCCCGCGCTTGAGCGTTCCATAGACAAAGACGTAAGTGTCCATGGCGAAGATCTTTTGTTGAAGTGTAAAATCGAAATGCCTGCGAGCATGAATTTCTAATCAAGTTTAGAAATCTTGTTAAGTTTTGCGACTCAACAATTATGCGAAATCATTGTAAACAGACAATTCAGCAAATTTTATATTTCAGATAGACAATGAGTGCAGAATCAGATTCACGGAACACTCGCCTAAAAAATGGTTAAAAAATAATACAGGCTTACAAATTAAATTATTTTTAGTAATTCAGAAAAGTTATCAGTTAAGACAGTATCAGTTAAGGCAAGTGTATTGACAAAAAACGGGCTGCAGGCGGTAGGGGGAATGAAACATTTCTCTTTCGTTGGCGCACAAGAGAGTAACCTTACATCTGTGGATTGTTTGTTACATGTGTCATGTATTGTGTATTTGAAAGACGAAACTAATGTACAATAAGCTGTCGTCTTTAGACTCAAGCTCCGCTCTTTTCCATTGTGAAGACGTTTTAGCCCTATTTGAGAGAAGACCTTGCGCCATCTCGATGACGATAACATGTTCGAGAGGTTTAATATCTGCAGCAAATGGGGGGAAGGTGGGGGTTGCATTATAGCTTTTGCTTCTTTTGAAATACAAAGTGCGTGGTGTAGCCGCCAATGTTCCTTTTTGCTAAAGGAGCGACGAAGCTTGCAGTTTGCTGTATAGGTTTCCGAAGACGCTTACGGACCGTGCTACACCAATTTGAGACTGTTTGGTTGTGATTCTTTCCGCTCGATCGCTAGCTTCTGCTATTAAGCGGAGTCTTGACACTCTGTGCCTTCTGCGTATGTCGTGGTTTGGCTATGTTTGCTTTGCTGTCCGCAAATGTGCTCCTTCTTCTCGCAGTGATGCAAAACATAAGGCCGCTTTTAAGACCCCCGCTGCTACAAGCGAGAGTTCCCGAGTCTTCTTTGTCTCGCCGTCTGACGCGCGTGGACGAGTTGTGCTTGGTTGAGCTCGCGGGGAGCTGGGGGTTTGCTGACGAAAATCATTGCAGAAGGTATCGCAATTTGCTGAGCAACAACGAGAAGAAGGGCAATGCATGTCAGAGCGAGTGTATTGGAGTGCTTGACGTTGCATTCACGAAAGACCTGGAAAGTGATGAAATTGTCTGAAAACTGAAACGATTATGCTTGTGATGATGGTTCTCTACACTTGATCTGATTCCTTTGCAATGCAGTATGTATAGCTTAGTTATGCCTTCATGCTGGAGTTCTTCGTTTTGTCTTCTTCGTTCCTGCTTTGCCGGCACTCGCACCTCTTTCAATACTCCCGAATATGATTTGGCGTTTTTTTCTACCTTGTTTGTTGCGATCACGGGGGTCGCTGGCTGTGTATATTCCCCTCTTTTCCTTGATGTCGTCCCCAACAACGTCCGATGAGATGTACGAAATACTGCTGCCACCTCGCGCTGCTGAGTTATACCGCCCTGGCTTCATCCGAGGATATAGCGGTCCTTCGGGTGCTGAGCAACTCGCCAAGAGCTCATCCCAGTTCATCCAGCAAACGAAAGGTTCAGCTACTTTGTTTGGGTCCATACCACCAATAAGTGGACGAAACTTCAGGCATTCCGTACATTGCACGAATTTACGTTCTCCGTCATCGTCGTGGGAGTTTGTGTACTTGTAATGGTGCGTCAATTGATCCAGACGCTTGCAGCGCTGAATGAAGTCTTGTACAAACTTGCGCTGGCGGTATTCCGCCAAATCGGTTCCTTTCATGAGCAATACAAGCTTTTCTTCTTCTGCCGAGCATTTCTAGAGGATGGCAGCCAGAAATGTCAGCTTGCATCGATATTACTGTTTCAACAAAAGATCACAACTCACATTGTGCCGCTTGTCCCACCGGTTCATGTTGCAGTACCAGACAGCTGGCAGCTCCAACACGTTTACTTGATCTGCGCATAAAAAATCAAAGTACAATGAGTAATCGGTCGATGCTCATCGTTAAGTCATGACTACTTACTGGGTAGTCGGCGCCACTTTTGACACTTGTCGCACTGCACCCAGTCATCCTGCTTTGTTGCGATAGGATTCGGCTTAATCTCATCGTCATCTTCTGCTGCCGCCTCTTTCAATTTCCGTAGTGCTGCACTTCGTGCTTTTACCGATATCTCAGGAGATGATGGTGCAGTTGTCTCGGAACTGCAGTCGTCACATTCCGATTTGGTCTCTGTATCTGCATCGATTAGCAGCATTCTCGCGACTGAAGTTGGTGCTACCAGGGGCATTTCACCTTCCTTACGCATGTCGCTACTCTCTTCCATCTCTGTCTCCGCAGCTAACTCTCTCTCTTTCTCTTCCTCTGAGATGATCTGCACCTCAATTCCGTAATAATCCATAATATCCTCATCATCATCAACAGGCGCTAAGCCTGGCCAAAGTGACGATACATACTTCACACGCTCGTCGAGGGTGAGGCTTTCCGATTTAATACATGTCAACGGAATGAAGTCTTTCCCTCCCACTGTCACAGGCTTATACTTCGGGAGCGGCCGTCGTCCACGTAAAGGTGCAAGAGCCACGTTTTCATCCTGCAACTGGCCAGTATAATTAGCATGAGACACCCAATTTGGCTGCTGAGCAGGGCGAGCGCTCCGACCAATGAGCGCGTCAAACATGGCAGCTTCTCGGTCATCATCCTGCATTGAGGCAAAATAATCCTGGAGAAGGTCACTCTTTAGTCGAAAAATCTCAGCATTGCGACTAGGGTTGCTGAAGCCACTGTTGTGGCGTGGTGGACGCTCTGGCAGTATCGTAGACGTGACGTTACCCCATGGAGACACCGCCGTTTTTTCTTCAGCCGGCAACGTTGCTCGGTACGAGATTTGGCAACGAGGATAGAAACGAATAAGACGATGCATTTTGTTGTTAGTGGGCTTCATGATGGTAAAATCCTTGGTCTCGATCTCGCGCGGTTCCTCCGGTCTCAGCAGATACACATCTACGCTCTCAGTCTGGATGGGCACTGGCGGCTCTGCAAGGAAGTAGGTAATAACTCAAGTAAATCAACCGTAGAGCTCATCAACATACTCAAAGAAAACGAAGTGCTCCTACATCATGGATAAGGCACGCACCTTCATTGTAGTCGTTGTCGTCGTTGTCGTCAATTGCGTTCAGCGTAGCACGCAAGTCCATCGTAGCTTCCTGTTTTAGACTGGCACAGATCTTGCAAATTGTCCGGTCCAAAACGTGATTAAAACAATGAAAATATTTTGGACACGGACTAGCCTGCGCCGTACCTGCAGCCGGTTATAGAGTGGCTACATCTGTATGCGCTGCTCGTACGACGAACATGGAGTTCAATATGGTACTGGATGACCAGGCCTTCTACCCACAAGCGCCAACAAGGGACGTCGACAAAGTGTCTGGCGAGGTCTACACTGTCGATGACAGCATATTGGCAGCCCTGGATGCACTTAAAGACGTGGACCTGTTAGACGGCAAGTGCCAGGTTAGTATCTTGTCAATTGTACCTCACAATTGTCGACGACTTGTACAGGCTCAAACGTATCACCGATTACACGGCAGCTTTGAACACCAAATTTGCTCAAGTCATGACCGGCTTTCATGCGGAATCTTAAATTTGTCTACGGCAAATACAGACTAGCTGAGAAGGCTATAGAAAGGTGCTTATCTATGTGCTTGAGATAGACACTAACATGTGAAGAGATGGTACTTTCGACTTGCACTGCAACAAACAACACTTGAATCTGTATCTATGACTACAGGACAAGCCGTCTCATTGTCGTAAATGCAAGCCTATAGAATAAACTTGGAAAGATCCGTGCGCTCGAGCACGTTAGAAAGACGCTGTTGGACGTACTTCTTGTCGACTTCGAAAGTCACGCCATTCATCGAAGGAGCGTGAAAGGAAACTTCTTCTGTAATCTTGCTGATGATAGTCGTCAAGCGACGAGCACCGATGTTGTCAGTCTGCGCATTTACTTGCTCTGCAATAGTCGCTATCTCACTGATGGCGTCATCTGTAAAAGAGAGCTTCACACCCTCCGTCTCCATCAAGGCACTCGTTTGCTCCAGCAAGTTATGATCCGTGTCCCTCAGGATCTTTTCAAACTCGACAGCACCTAACGGCGAAAGAGCTACACGAATAGGCAAACGACCTTGCAACTCAGGCATTAAATCTGACGGCTTGGAGCGGTGGAAGGCACCACTTGCAATGAACAGGATGTGGTCCGTGTGGACGAGTCCATAGCGAGTATTGACAGCGCAGCCTTCGGTCAGAGCCAACAGCTCCTTCTGTACACCTTCGCCCTTGCGATAACTGCCGCCATTTCCTCCTGCACGAGCATGGTCGCCAGCACCGGCAAGCTTGTCGATTTCATCGAGAAACAAAATACCGTTGTGTTGCACATTCTCCAATGCCCTTTTGACCACTTCGTCGTCATTGATAATAGCGTCCGCCTCCTCAGCCTCGAGACGAGGCAAAGCTTCCTTTACCGTAATGCTCTGTGTCTTGTCTTCGCTCTTGGCACTAACCCCACTAAAATTCGACGCCATGAGTGTGTCGAGATGCTTCATCATGTTCTCCAGCTGGGGAGGCATCTCCATCATCATCTCCGCGTTCGCCGATGTCGGGCGCATCTTACTTGGAAGTGGTTTGAGTAGCATGCGCACTTTGCGGTTATCTGCTTTGCCTGTAGAAATTTCCTCATGGAGTTCCGCCCGCGAAATGTCACTGAGTTTCTTGTGGTCCAGCAGACCTACAAGCCGATCAATAGCGCGTTCACGAGCTGCTGCAGCGTGGGTCTTCTGTGCATCAGCTCTCTCCATGTTGACAGCGACATCCACGAGATCTTTGATCATGGAGTCCGCGTTGGCGCCGTAGATACCTACTTCAGTAAATTTGGTGGCCTCCACCTTGAGGAACGGCGAGCCAGAGATCTTGGCCAGACGCCGCGCGATCTCCGTCTTACCAGAACCTGTTGGACCACTCATGAGGATATTCATGGGAAAGATCTCGCTTCGTAATGCATCGTTTTTCAGCTGTCGACGGCGCCATCGAGTACGCAGCGCCACAGCTACCGCCTTCTTGGCATCCTGCTGACCTACTATATATTTGTCGAGAGCCCGCACAACGGCTTCTGGGATGAGATCAACATCTGAGCGAGGAGTTGTACCGACAAGTACTAATGGACGGTCAGTAGAAATAGCACTAAAATGACGCAGACTTGCACAGCGACGCAGCATCATTTTGATACGGCGATGATATTATGGAGTGGAGGGGATGGATTGGTGTTTTCAGCTAATACGATTGGATACAGCATAAAAAAAACGCATCCATCGAAATGGGTGGGAAACTAATTAGCTGCTTGCTTTTTAATATGAGAAGCTGCTAATTAATGGCCGGACTCCGAGATACAGAGGTAGAGTAAACACCGCAATAGATAAAGCTGAACTAAATTTTTTCGATCTAATACGTCGATGCAGAAAGCGATAACTGAATTATTGCCGACGCATAGACGAAGTCAACAAGAGTGACCCGACAGATGCACTTGTGTACAAAATTCGCACAATCAGTCGTTCTGCTGAGGAACGGAAGACTACAGGAGACGACTATCAGTGTCACTACATGTTTTAGGGTAGCCTGTCGTCCCACCGTATACTGTTAGGCATCACACATCTCAATGACAGCCAAATGGGACAACGGATAGAGAAGCCTAGCGATTCCCCTTCTACCGTCCTTAAGCGGGGAGTCCCCATGGTGGGGCCAAGATTTACGCGACTCGAGAGTGGGTTTATCCCAGGGTGTTTGGAGGAGCATCAAAAAATGTCGAATGTCCCTGCACCACCCCAAGATTATCTGCCAAACCACCAGCCAGTTCATAATCTTCTCATTCGTTGTGTTTATTTTGAACACAAGTAAGCACTAAAGCACTAGTCATACAGTATGCAGCTTCAGCCATTTACTACATCGTTTGTTTTCGCTACCCAAAACGCGTAACTTTAACTTTGTCTCGCAACTGGGCACGTGCTTACCTTAATAGTGGGAAAAAAGGTTGAGCTGGAAATTGCCAACAGTTAAGCACGATCCTAACGGATTTTGCTCTGGTAAGAGCATTTCGCAAACGTTTTTATAAACAAATGAGTCATGAAGACCGTAATACACTTTCCATCTGGTCATCCCCATTTCAGTGGGACTAATACTTGTGCGTCATGCGATATTCAAGGCTTTATTCAACTAAATATGTAAAAAGGTTTGTTCCAGGCCTCTCGAAAGCCCTGCTTAAAAAGTCTACGCTTGGCCTCAGGTTACGGCTGTACCATAATACCGCGCAAACACAAGTGAAGCAAACATGAGTGCGTCAATGCGATCCAATACACCACCGTGACCAGGAATCAGCTTCCCAGAATCTTTCACACCAGCTGCTCGCTTCAAAAGACTCTCAAAGAGATCTCCAAGTCGCCCCACTATCACAGCCACCACGGAGAATCCAACTTGTGCAGCCGGAGATCCTGGTACGTTAAGCAGAAATGAGGAGATAAACATCGCAGCGACGCCAAATAAAATGGCACCAAATGTTCCTTCGTAGTCCTTGTTTTTGGACAAGTGTGGTGCCAGACGATTGTAGTGGCTGTAGTGCATTCGATCCAGCAAGTTCCCCGTCAAATATGCCCCTGTGTCCGACGCCCATATAACGTAAAGCAGCACGATTAGCAGCCTACGGTACGCATCGACCCGCTCGTCGTCCACAAAAGCGGCGATTACGGAAAGCGTGCCGATGACATACAGATAGCCGAGCATATCCAGCGCAATATGCAGAAACGTGGCAGGCCCTGAGGAACGCGTCTGCAGTCGAAAGAAAATGACAATCACCGCGCCTGAAAGAAACACTTGTGCTGGCATTAGAGAAAGTTCACAGCGGAAGCGGCTGATGGGACAAGCAGCCGACTGCATGGTCAACAGGGTGAAAACCGCTTTTTCCACGAGACAGATGAGCGCATGCCTCCGGTTTGGCGTAAAGAAAGCACAAAGCGCAGCGACAAAGTCAGTGGCAATACTGTAGAACCAGCGCAGCTTGTACAACTGCTTCCCATGCAGCTCAGGGATATGTTCGACATAGATCAGGAAAATGCTCGTAGTGACGACAGTAGTAAGTGCCGACAGCACCAATGCAGCAATCCACTCGTTTTGGTGAAAGTGCTTGTCGGCCATTCTGGACACAGCACTGCTTAAGAAACTCGCATCATGCATGAAGTCATCATCAGCATTAGTCTCCAGACTTGGTCGTTGCTCTTGAGGCATACCTTCTAACATAATAGACGCTCTTGGTGGCAGCGGGGGTGTCAATGGCGGCGACTGGACGGTCTCGCCGCTTGTTATTCGTCCTCTGAACATAGCTCCTGTAACGTCGCCGCTTATAGTGTTCACTCTACTGCTGCTGCTGCTCTCGCTTCGTATGCTACGATTGATGATCTCAGAGACACGACTGTCGTCATTGTGCTGGTTTCGCGCTGTGTCGTTGTCAATTGCGGCATCTCTGCGCATCAGATGCGGCTCACAGGCGTTCATCCTGGTCATGAAGCGTAGGTAGATGCGGTGTTGTAGCCACGCATACTCATAGGAGCAGATACTGGTCACGATTGTGCAAAACGTGGCGGTCGCAAAAGCCGGCGAGAACCACAGGAAGACCGTGATGAGCGGCGCCAGCACTAGCGCCGACAAAAGACGCTGTACCCCATTGATTTGTAGCCACTGCTGTACCGATGTGGAGATGGTGTCGCTAGAGGTCGCAGGACTAGAGACGCTCGCTTCGCTGGGCGACGGAAACGCCAGCACGACAATATTCACCGTTGCTGTATCGTAATACAAGGTAGAGGGGCCCGGCGGCCTTGGCGTCATGGGCATGACCGACAGTTAAATAAATATGTGAAAAGTGGTCGCGCTGCTTCAGACGACGTTCCCTTGAGCAGAGTCCGCCACGAAATGATTAACGTGTTGTGCATTTCAATTTAGGGCAACGTTAGATCTCACTCACCACTCATTTGTTACTATATTTACTTGTATAAAGGAGCTGACGAAGAATACAAGAAGGCGCTGCATAAGGTCTGCTCGGACTCGATAAAGATATCTTTTGCAATAGTAGGGGTGCATATTTATGTTATGTGGTTCATCGTGGGTGGCAAATTGTCGAGAGAGATGGCCAAGGGTGTCGCTCACTCCGTGTCGAACTCGCCTCTGCTTAAGTGTGCAGTAGCTGGCCACGATTCGAATGTATGCCGTCTTCTCATGGCAGGTACATGGGCTTGTTACAAAGCTTTTAGCATTCAATGGCGTATGAAGATTAAATGGGTGGCGGGATCATTTTAAAGCGGCAAATGGTGTTGAATGATGATATAATGAAAACAAACTTGTGCCTCACATGCGTGACGCAATGCTGATCGAGGATACGCGGGGTGGACCCGATACCAGCTCGCACAACTATCTGGCTCGCATAAATTCGTCGAGGTATGTAATTTTAAATGGATTGTTTGTTAGTAAGAAACTTTTTAAGTTAGTAAGGTTACTTTCTCACTTACGACAACTTCCTGTTCGTTGCAACGTCAGATTGAGATTAATGCAGTTGTTAATTCCGAAAAAAGTCAGGTTCTGGGTGTTGACCTTGCCAACGAGTACGAGACCATCGACGCCGACTATCGATTGCAATTTAAACATGATTGTAGTGGACTCGATTACAAGTAACTCCTGTAGCTTCGAGTGAAGACGGGATGCTACTCAACTACTCTCAATAAGGTTGGATAAAATTCTACCAGATCCTTACTCTCATTTACCCAGTGTCTTCCTGCCATAAAAGAAAGTGCACCTATCTGTATTTCCCTGTTCCGTGGTACATGTGTAACCCAAAAAACACACGAGTGCGATTCTCAAATTGCAAATAACAGCCTTCTCGGGACCAAGTACTGGACGACAATCAAAGGCTCGCCTTAAACCACGATTTGGGTGTTCTCGTTCAAAATGCATAAGTGTTGGAAGATACCTATACTCGTCAAATATAATGGCGAATAGCACATAGGAGCCATAGCCATACTGTACCAAGTTTATTTTACATTGATGTGCCAACAACAAGCATATCAGTTTCGCAATTTTGTTGGCATGACAGAGGGACCCAGCAAAGCCGCACCAAGGGATTGCGCGAGAAGACCCAGTGATTGCGTTCGCAATTGTAAAGCGACATGTACGACGTTATCTGGGAGCGATGATAACAGCAAATAAGGCTACTGTCTTCGTGATTGTGCAAGTCGAGCAGTCGTTATTCAGTATAGCATGTCGTCGATGTCGTAGTTCTTCAAGAACACAAGTATCTCTGCAACAAAGCTTGGCCATTCAGCGCACTCAGTGTGAGCGGGGATAAAAGCTTTGATACGTACGAGAGACCATGACCCCTAGGAACGACAACGTCGCGCTCAACATCGCCACAAGACTCGAATAGCTGTAACAGCAGCTTCGATAATCAGTCCATGAAAGCACTTAGGTGCGAAGAAGAATATCACGTCCGTGTGGATTTTGCCGAGCAAGTCATTGGGTAGGTGCGGTAAGGCACCTAAGAGAAGGTAGTGTACCTGCCAACAACCAGCAGCATGTAGAAAATCTGATACCAATGTAGCCAAGATTCGTTCTCTAGGATGGGGCACAGAGCACAACACGACGAAAGATACTTTGTCGTCAGGTTGTATGACGTTTGTTCGTGATGCTTACTGTAGCAGCGGGTTCGGATGGTACAACGTAAAGTGGACTCGTCCTCGGGCAAAGTCACTATTGTCCTCCGTTATTACCACATGTGTCTTAGCTTAACGCTGGCCAACACCTCCTTTGCCAGAAGTAGAATCGGCCATCACTACGAAGCCTCTAATGGGGCGCCCAATTCTATACCTGCATAAATCTGTCTGAAAGAGGCGCTTTCGTTTCTATTTTACCCAAATTATTAAATGTAATCACCCAAAATAGTGAAGCAACGATATAAGGGTAGGGGAGAAATTGTCACTGGCGCCATCAAAACCTGCTATCTGTAATTATTGCAAGTGAACGTATCAGAAAGATAGCACCACCTCTGGTGGGATCGCTATTTGAAGCGACCTTTCAAGACCCCCGAAATATCCAATTGCGTCGTCTGTACAGAACTCGACACGCTACCTCATTTCCGTACTTGCGAGGAGCTTCCAACCTCGTCACCTCCTCTTGTATAAAGATAACTGCTTTTTGTCATGCATACGCGCGTGTTTGTGCGGCTATACGACGGTGTAATGCAGTACGAAACTGACGACGAGGTGCTGCAGCTGCCCCCGCCGCCTCTTAAGTGGAAGGACGCAATCACTGCTATGGTGGCTGCTGTGGGTAAGCAGAGCGAGTACGAGGATGGCGTGACGATGCCTAAGGCGCGGCTCTTTTTGCTTCCCACAGAGGCCGCAGGAATTGCGGCTGAAGTACGTCTTGTTTGCTGCAAATGGGACCTGTCTCATTGTTTGTGTTGAGACGCTCTAACGGTTACGCTGACGTGCATTGTACAGCTAAATGCCCGCTCATTGCGCTTTGGTGTCCGAGAAAATGACCGCTTTGTGGTTTGTCTTCGAGGTGAGGATTACCAGCAGCCGAGTGAACGCCAAGCGTCAGCGGAAGTCGCTGCTACTGCAACTTCTGGTGTGTCGTCGGCAAGACCGATGACGTTGTCCACGCCGAGCTCCAGTTGTGGAACAACAGAGCCCAGTATTTTTTCCTATGCTAATGGTCAGAATGCAGGCGAATCAAACAATGCTGCACCGTCTGGAAACATGGGAGGACCTCTTAGTGGTGGACTTGGAGGTAACGCCCCGTCTGGAAATTTGATGTCCAGTGGAAAGAAGGGAAGCAAGCGTTACCGAAGCGTTTCCGGAAAGATGGCTGCAATCAAGTCACTGGGCGATATGGGACTCATTTCGAACGACGACCGTGGTCATTTAAAGGATTTGGTGCTGAATAGTGACTCGCCAGAGCTGCAGGAGGCCTTGGACAAGTATAACAACACTGGTGACTTTCAGGCTGTAAAGGATCTGCTGCTTAAGGAGATGCAGAACCCGCTTTCAAAGCGTAACACTACCGACTGGCTATCGGAAAGTTTTGTTAACGACATTGCGCTAAACTTCAACACCATGGTACCTGCTGTTAAGACGGACTCAATATTAGCGCAAAACATCAACCAAGGGGATCGATTTAGTCCAGTACCTATAGCAGCGACACCACCAGCGAACACGTACAGGTACCAGACGACTAGTCAGTCTACGCCAATGAACTCGACAGTCTATTCGCAGAGCTCTCCCGTGGCGGTGAATCACTATTCGGCTTCCGGGAGTCTAGTCGTCCCTACAGGTGGCAACCTCTCTACTAGCAATGGATACAGTGCTGAAATGCCCGTGTCAAATGGCTACCAGCCTACGACTGTGATGCCCCAGTTGTACCATCAGCCACATGCTTCACCGACCAACAACATGTACCGCACTGCACCTCAGATCAACTTGCCTCTTCGAGACCGCGCTACATACATGAAACGGGAATATGAATCGTCGCCAGCCCACAACATGCTGGGCATAAGGCCACCGGCGGTTTTTCCTGCCGCCCCACCGCAATTGGGCATGGATATGTGTGTGATGCAGCAAGGATACGCGATAAACCAAGGTCCACCATACCCAGCAAACATCGTCTACGCTGGGGACCAGTCCCAATATTCCATGAGCCCGTACATGGCAGGTGGCGTTTACAATCAGCACCACCACCAGCCTCAGTATGCAATGAACCGGTACGGTTACGGCAGCACGCAGCCTGAAATGGGCTACAATTTTTACGCTGCAGGCTATGGATATGGAAAGGCTCAACTTTGCGCTGGCCCTGGAGGCAAGTGGACTAACGCTCCACCGATGCCGTCGTACCCTCCGCCGTGCTCAAAGGAGGAAAAAAAGGAGAAGATTGCCAAGTGGTTGAAGAAGCGCGAGACCAGGAATTGGTCTAACAAACCGTCTTACCCTGTGCGGCATAGCATCGCAAAAAACCGCAAGCGCGGAGAAGATGGTCGGTTTATTACGAAGGCACGGCTCGCTGAGATGGCAGCGGAGGAAGCAGCGGCGGCAGCAACGCGTGAGAATAGCGACGAGCCTCAACATGCTTCTTTGCCGTCTTCTACGTCTGAAGAAGCTCCCATCTTGATTGTGTCGCAAACTACGATGCCACAAGCAACGCCTGTGCCGTAGACTCTTTGTTGCGATGGATTAGTCTGTATGATCGTTGCGATGTAAAAAAATACAAACCAAATAGTCGCCAGTGTTCACCAGAGTAAAGAGCTCAAGTCTTAAGAGCAGTCGTAGCTTTTCCCATTTAATGCCGCCGAACCACTGCTAATACGAAATTTGCTATGAAATGGTACAAAACAACCGACACATCTTTTTAAACAGCATCACACCAACACTACAGATCTTACCACGATAGACTTATCCTTACAATGGTAAAACGGCGGGGCTTACTCCAGCCGGGACAACAGGATCTCGTGTCGTCTTAATTATCTTCATTCCACTCACTTTAATGAGCTTCTGCAAGTTATAATACTCACTCCTGGAACTGCACACCAATTGACTTTCTTCCCAGCTGTACCGATTCCAGTTGAGGATGGAGACAGCCCATTGGTGTGTGACTTCACTGGTAGACCCTGCAAATGTTATCGACACCAGCTTAATTGCATCTACATTCTGTCGATCACCACACCGACGAATGGATGGAGCAAGTGGCTGTGCATCGACGCGAAACAGATTGGGCACCTCAGAGGGAGGAAGCAAAAAGACATTCACCTTGGACCCTGATAAAGCAATAGCTCCCAACTGTTCTCCGCCCATTCGAGAGAAGTACTGCAGCATGCCCTCGTCGAGGATACAGTATACAGTACAGACTTTGTTGCCATCGATCTTGAGTAAATAACCTTCGACGTTGCCTCCGTAGCTCATATTCTGTCGTGACTTTGTTTGAAACGTTGACTGTTGTAGAGAGACTCGACCTTGCAAATAAGAAAGTAGAGAAGCTCTTGCGTGAAGAAACCTATGGCAGTGTCTGACAAGAGCATCACTGGCCAGGCAAGATAAGGAGGGATATTCTGACGGATGGGAGCAAGGACCATGTGGTTTGAAGACGACAGCAGATCTCGGTTGGGATAGCCAAACCTAGAGCATGTATCGTAGTTGACTCGCCAGCTCAATGTGCTCTAAGAAAATCTCTTTTCAAACGGCTGTATTCGACCGAGGTGGTCAACCTCGTTTGCACTGAATGACCAGCCAGCAGGTGGAATGCTTTAATGTCACTGTCGTTACAGATTAGCGCCCTCTTCAAGTTCTCTTAAAATCTCAAATAACAGCAGTATTTTATAGTAGTATTCACATATGACATTGTCAAACATGTCCCTCTTCTGGCCAAAGTGCTGAACACAATGCGCTCGTATGCCGTTTGCAGGATATGCAACATATCCATTCACACGATTTACAAGACTCAGCCGCTGGGTCTTTTCGAGCGTAAACGCTTCGAAAGGATCAGCAGCTGGACTTACCTATGCTTTGCGTCTATTTGACCTGGTACAACCGGCGTCAGTAGGCATGCACTTTTGTGCTTAGAAAGAGCTACAGTGTCGGTATCTGCATAAAAGAGAGAATACTACATCATCTGTTTATTTATTTTGACAAAAAAAAATCGTGGACAATATTTAGATACTAACGAAATCAATGCGGCAAGAAGTTCCAATGGCAAATGCCCCACGCATGCGTCGCGTACGGGCTACCGACCAAGGACCTCTGGACTGGCTGGTTCCCTTTATCCCTCCTGTACTGCGAGTAAACCGCGAGACACGTGCCGAGATTTGTCGCAAGGTTGCAAATTTGTTGTCGAAAGAGACGATGGAGAGTATCGTGCTTGCTTTGAGACCTCATTGGCGCTCGCTTGCCGTTTTCTTGTTGGGGACGGCCATTTGGATGAAGGGACTTGTCTACATTCATTATAACGAGACCGAGTTTGCGGTGGCGTACGTTATTCTTTCGGGCTTTGTTGTATTAGGATATCACCTGCTGGTCGGAGGAGAAGGATATACGGGTGACATGAGCGCGTACTCCGTCTTTAATCGTGGCGCCCAGAGGATGCTTGGATCGCTGTCAGCAGAACAGTTTGAGGTAAGGAGTATATTTGATTTCTCAATGTCAGATTCGGAGGTAGATTGAAGTGTGTTTGTAGAATGAAATTCGTCATCGACAAGTAGAGCACGAAGATATTCCACGACCAGAAGCGTTGCTGGCAGCTCACGATCTTGGAGTTCATGATGAAGTTGAAAATGAAGATGACCCGTAAGTTTGACGGTCATTCTTTTCTCTATTATTAAAAAGAGAGATCTGACTGTATGAAATGCTTTTTCTTTTTTTGCTACCGAATGCCATGAAGTGACTTGATAATGGCACTGGAACTTTCACTGCAAGAAATGAAGCGCGAAGATCGCCAAAATCGCCGCACAACCCGTAGGAAGTGACAGCTTGGCTGCTGTTGAGCGGTATATTCAACAACGCAAGACGCTTCCGTTTCTATCGCTTCTTCATTTTCTAGAAACCCAGTGGGCATCGACTAATGCGCTTTTTTGGATTTCCGTCCTCATCCAGTTCTACCATTTCTGCAAGCTTCTCAGTTGCAATAGGAGGGTGCCCAGGTGGCAGTACTATCTCACCGGGTGCAGCATTTGCCTTTCGGTTCGAATATCTTAGCATGCCATTCAGCGTACCGACTGCACAATAACCACAAAAATCATATTAAAGCTGAAACGATACGTAGCAATAAGTAATACAAAATAGCTCAAACACACCTGCGAACAAGACAGAGCCCGTAACAATCGACGGCAAAAACAATCGCAACTCAGTCACCGATGACAAATTGTCGTCCAATGACACCATCACCACAGACACTAGGCTTGACAATGCCACAATGCAGATGCCAGATGATGCCATCAACTACATCATTACGCAGGGTAGAAAAAACAAGGCTAAGTGCGTGCAGGTAACATTTAGTAAGCAAAGCTAAGCAACCTACCAAAGACGCATCTCCAGCCACGATAGATGCGATCGACGGGCGTGGTGATGATTGCTTGATCGTAGCTTCAACTTCTCTGTTTTCTTTTGCCAACTGCTGTGTCACTATCCGTTGCTTCATACTCGCTGAGCAACTGAATTAGACCGAGGTTTTGCACGTTCTGACTCCCAATGAGATTAAATTAGGAGTCAGAATGTGCTGAACCTCAAACTCAATAGCTTTGTTTTGGGGATAAAAAAACCTATTTAAGGGAATAAAATGGTCCGACCTACAGCTTCAGTTGCTTTATCAGTGTTGCAATGTCGCGTGCTACTTCCTCATCCTCCTTCGTCTTCAACGGCACCGCCTCAGCCTTTAGTGCCCACTTCTCAGCATCTTTCGTTCGCTTCATATTCATATAGGTCTATACACGAGTACACAGTCAAGCTTTAGAGTACTAGTCACGTAATTTGTCTCTCAACATGCGGTACCTGTGCTAGGAGAAACACGTTTTTCTTCCAGAACCCGGGACTAATGTTTTCTAATCAAAGCAAATCATTATCTTTTGTAAGTTTTGGAAGCCCATTGTAATCGACTTGTAGAAGAAACATACCTGCTGTCTGAAAGTGCTGCAAGGCTTCCTCATACGTTGCAGTAGGTGGCGTACCAAACAGTGCAGCAGCGGCGCGCTTTTCAATCCAAGTCATATCAGCAAAAGCCAAGCACCACTGCCCAAGGATATTGTGCGAGGTGGCATCATTTGGGTCCAGCTCGATTGCTCGTTGAATATGATCCTGCAAGAATTACTTTTGAGAAAAACGCCATCGTTGTATCTCACAGCAGCTAAGATTTACCCGAATAACGTAAGCCCCTGCAATCTTCTCCTTCAAGTCGCGGAAATTCCCTACAGTGCTGTTTGCAGATGTTCAGTTAGTGACATTGTGTTTCATACGATGAGGCAAGTGGAGGCTAGTACCTGGTCATGATGGCCATCCATTTATTCGACGATGCCGAATCACTGTTGAGGGCATACGCCTTCTCTGCAGCAGCCAAGCCTTCATATGCTAACGTCTTCTTCTCGTCAAAATTACTTTTCTCATCTGCAAGGTAGTTGCACGCACGAGCCAAACGCCACCACTAGTGTGTACTCTGGTCAGATACTTCCATCAATAATCCCAGCTATGCAAAGTCTTTACGCACCATATCAACGCTTGAAGGGTATTTTGACAACTCAGATTTCATATACTCTCGTGTCTGGGCGTGCTGATCCTGCTCAAAGAGTTCATCTGCGCGCTCAATTATTGCCCCAACGTCTTCGGGCACACTGTCCTTCTCTTCGTCGTCTTTGCTTGCACCATGAGCCAGGTGTGACGCATTCTGTTCAGCCTTATCAGAACCTTCAGACGCTTGTTCGTCTGCTTATCACATGTGCATTAGTTATGTGCAAAGTGACTTATTTCAAAGCGTAACGTGTAAAAGCTTACTATCGTGCTGTCCGATAAGCTCAAAGTCGCTCGAATAGTGTGGATATACTGCTTTATCCGTGAGAAATGGGATACGTAAGTTATTCCTCGACGAGCGCATGAAAAGTTCCGTACTGGCAGCTGCAGTCAACAGCAAATCAACGAGTCAGTATGATTGTAGGCCCCTTCGTTCAAGAGTTTAAAACATGTAAACCCACCTGTAAAAATACCAACGGCAATCCACATAAGTGGCTGAAACATGGGCAGCTCAACAAAAAAATACTCGTTGTCTTCATTGTTCCACGCAATGATCAGTGACACGATCGTCACCAACACCATGAGCAAAAGTCCAAACGTGGCCAGCAACTACAGTAATGTCAAACAGTCAGTAATTCATAAATACCTATTAATCGATCAGAATTGACACACCATGTTCTTCCCTCGGTCTACTGCCATCTGCTGCTGCTCTGTATCTGCGTCAGCCTCAGCCGTTTCATCCTCGGACAGCCACTCGAAGTCCGCGTCTTCGCTTTCTTGAATCTCTACAGTCGCAATCGTCTCACTCTCTCGACGATCACGCTCTCCTCGTGTCGCATATTTGTAGACGATAGTCGCCGCGGCTGCTGTTCCCGCTACAGCCACAAGGGACCAGATCCAGCCACGAGAATTCGGCGTCATCCTGGAGACCACTTCAATTTAATCACGTCGTTTTATTTGCTGACTTTTATGAGATCAATGTATTCGTTTTGCAAGGGTGGCCTAATTTTGTGTCCCGAAGCCTACATTATATAAGGCACCTTATACGTGAAAAATATGGGCGCCATACGCGGCTTAGAGCGTGGCGACAACAAGCGCAAACAACACAAGGACCGTGGTGTAAAGTTTAATGAAAAGCATACAATCAAGTATGGTCTATCAGTGTGCAATCGTAACGCCAAAACGAGTGTAGTGGAGACCGTAATGTGCAAGTTCTGCGTGGCTTTTGGCAAAGAATCGGCGGCCGACGCGAACCGCAAACGTCGTGCTACGGCCAACATCAAGTATTTTCGTCAGCCATTTCGTGCCGATCATTATCTGTCTCATTTAGAGATTAATCACATGCACAAATGGACCGAGTACGAGCAATCGTCGAGCCCCGAGAAAGAGAAATTCTTTGGGACGCACGTCGAGGAGGCGACCATCAATCCATTGGCATTGGCTCAACATCTTATTAATGTCCAGACAGGCAGTCCGAGTAATTTGGGAAATGTGGTATCCACGATAGTGCCTGTCGTGCACCGTGTGGGTCCTGTTCGTTTACCAGCCTTTGAGATTGAGAAATCTGTGGTGGATGAGCTTGTGGGTGACATATTCTTTAACGCAAGTGACGAGAATGGACTGTCAAAGGAGATGGCTCTGGATGTTTTCCACCACAAAGATGGCTCGGACAATTACGAGATTATCATTAAGAATCAGCGGCTGTATGATTTAGCCATTAAGTTTGTGGCCTGTGGTGCGTCCTTCCGCCTGGCTGCACGCATGGTACAGTGCACAAAAGAAGAAACTAATGTGGCTTACTATGGCGGTTGCTCAGTGCACAGAGTCGCAGGTTATGTTCGTGCAGTGATAGCCAGCAACCTGCAAAAGATTGCACTTTTGATGCGCTCGTCGTGGGCATTTGCGATAGCAACCGATGCAGTTGCTCATCAAGGCACATCGTACCTGGACATTCGTGTGCGTTTATGGCAGAATGGTGCTTTGCGAGACTTTCACCTTCTGACCTTGCCCGCGTTCGATCAACACCCGGCACCATCAATTATGGAACACCTTGAGAAATTTTTCGATGTAATGGATTCGCAATGGCGAAGCAAACTACTGGGAGCAACTACCAGCGGCAGCGAAAATACGGGACGTAATACTGAAATGAGGGGCAGCCAACAGGGACTTTTAGCTCGGCTTACGACACTCGTGACCAAGCCTGCTTTCTATCTTGTCTGGTCTGGTGTGCACCAGTTGGAGGTAGTGGTCAAGAACTGTGTCTTCTCCTTTTGCCAGAAAGCATTTTACGATGAACTAGTATCAGTTCTTGCAACGCTGCGCCATGACCAACATAGATCCGACCACGAAGGTTCGTTGTTTCCTTTTGTCCGTGAAGTCATCCCTGATGTTACGGCTGCGTTCTCTGTTACACGAGGCTTTACTGAAAGCTTGATGGAAGCACTTAAATGGCTGATGGAGCGCCGCATGGCCATTGTTCAACGGCTACAGACTACATCTCCATCATCCTTGCCGTCTGCTTCTTGGTGGGTTTGTGTAGCTGTTGCGCATCGTGCAATGGCCGAGATCGCGAATTTTATGCAAAAAATACTGAGCTTGGAAAACGGAGCGAATTTTGTGAGCGAGCAGGTGCAGGAATTATGTAAACTAGCACTGAATATGATGGATGTCGTTGGTGCTCGACGAGACTTTTGGGAGTCGCTTAATCCCGATGAAGCTTGTGCTGCAGGTTCTTTCCAGTTGACGTTCCAGAACGCACAGCAATTTATTCAGAATGAGGGTGGCACGCTGGCTATTGAGATGTTTGACACGCTTCGAGGAGTTGAGCGACATCACATTACTAAATCGGTAGCACACTTTGCAGTGGACCTGATATCTGGAGTCGCTACAATTGCCCAGGAGGGGCGGCACTATTGCGCTGAAAATCCTAAGGTGCTTGTAAATCCGCCGATAGTGTTACCAATTGAACTGTATGAAATGGGAGAAGAAGCCTTTTTCAAGACATTTCGCGAGCAGGAGCCGCGGTTGCGCGAAACGTTCTCGGACCAAAAGATGAAGATGATTCAGGATGAGTACAAAGAGTTTATGCTGGCGTTGGGGCGCGAACATGTACTTAGCGGCGTACTGAAGAAGCATGACCGTGACACGGATGTATCCTTCGCCTGGTCCTGTGTTATGGGCAGATTCCGCATGTTGCAGGAGTTTTTCGGTGGGCTGGCGTCCGTCGTTCCTGACATGTCGGCGGGTGCTCTGTCGGTGGACCTGACCTGGTTGAACTGGGAGAAGCCAGACTATCGCCAGACGATGGTCGACTTTGCGCTAGAAGGCATTTTACATGCAAAGCAGAAGACGAAAGTGGAGCTGGTAGACGCCCACTACCTGCAATTTGCGAAGTCGCCTTCTACTGCCGACGAGAGCGTATCACGATGTACGCCAGCTACGCCCGAGATGAATGTCCCGTCCTGCTCTCCTGCACACTCGGCCACGACGGCGGCAGCAGCGTCTATCAATGATAGCTTGGTAAGCATGCCGCTTCCCTCTACGGCCGCAACAGTACCTCTTGGCACCATAATAGCGCAGGATATCGCGAATTTCTCTGGTATGCCTTTGGAAATGTCTAAGACGGGAGGGCTAGCCTCTGCAAGCAGCAGTATCAGCAACAGCAGCAGCACTACCGCCACTACCTCCGACCATGGCTACATGCTTGTGTAGTGACGCAAGTATTACCAATGCCCTACGATAATTGTCCAGAGACTTCTCTACGTCCGCCAGCTGCAGCCAACGAGCTTAACATGTGCGTTGGCGGATGATCACTAGCAACGCCAGAATTTATGGCTTCGAGATGGCACTTTGCGGTAGCTGTAGCGTGCGCTTGGCGCCGTATAAATTCAGCTCATCATTACTGTGTGGCGATAGACTGCGACAGTTCTACGGCCATTTAGCTACAGTCGCTGCTTGTCCGTTACAGGCAAGAGTGGCGCCGTGACGGCCTTCGAAGAGACCTGTATGTGTGGGACACCGCGCATTTCCGATATCTCGTGGAAGTTTACACCATGTTTCGACGAGCAGGACAATTTTTGAAGGAAAGATGACAATAAATTGTAGTGGGTCGCTGTACAAGTGCTGGTCTTGCGCGCTTAAATCGATGGAGGAAGCCCAAGTGATTGACATGACTTCACTTTTTTACCAGGTTTCTGCGTACTGACCTGGAAGAATAGTAAATAGCACGACTATGAAGGATTTTTTGCTTAAGGCGACACTTAAACCGTCAAACTACATGACTACCTGATGGCTGGCGACTCCGCCACTTCTACAGCACGACACCACAGCGCAATGCACCGCATGGCAAACAATCAGGAGACCAAGAGCGACATTTTACAAGAATTTATATCAACATACAGTAGACTATTCGTTCATCCAAAAAGCTCTAGGCTTTTTCGCACTAAAGTTCAACATCTCTCGTTACCTGACTGATAGATAGAGCTCTTTTATACTGACACGGAGACTTCTCCATAGAAAACTCTTATTACCTAGTTACTAGCTCTGGTGTTGCGCGTTGGTGTTCATGCCTGCCGTAAAGGCAAACGGCACCTTGGCCAGGTTCTGCATATTTTTCCTCCAATTTTCCGTCATGTCGCTCATCTTGCCTTCCATTTCGGCGATCTTTCCCGCGGGTTTGCGTTGCATGCCCAGCGTCTCTAAGTACCCCGTCTGCTCACTCTTCTTGAGCCCTTTCATGCTCATAATGCTTTGCAAATCTTCCGCCGTACCATCGGGCCACATGATCTTGAAACTTTCGACCAGCATTTCGTTCGGCGTGCCAATCAGCTTCAGTACACTTTCCACCTTTGCAATTTCGTTCATAACAAACTTCGTGTAGCGTGAGGATATTGTCATCGTGCTCGTCAACGGGGATGAGGACGCGTTCTTGTTTAGCACTGGTAACTGGAGGAAGAGCGTCTTGAGCGCGTACACGTCTAAAAGCAGCTGCTGAGTCGCCACCTGATTCACCTTTCGGCACTTCATCACTGCCTGCAAGATCTTGGGCACGAACGAGGCGGCGAATTTGTCGCAAAAGTTTGTGAAATACAGTCCTGACAGCATTTGGCGCAACACCGGCACAAACGCCCGCAGCTTCTCACCCAATTGCGTCACGTACAGACTCTCGTCGCCCACCGTTTCCCACGCCTGCCAATTTGCTTTGTAAAGTGTAGTTAATTCATCGTCCAACGACGTTTCCAATCCAGTCACAATGCACTTCATTGCGGCAGCACCCACATCATGAAATGTGTCGATTTCTTGTGATAGCTCAATAGCTTCGCTGAATGCCTTATCTATCGTGGCACGAATCACTTCCTCCAAAGAGGGAAGTGTCTCAGCGCAGTACTCAGCCGTATTAATTACAAAACAAAGCTCTTCTTCCTGCTTGTCGCCAAGTATCACCTTGTTGTTTGCACCACTGCTCGCGGAATCAAGACCACCAGTTGACCCAGTCGCGGCACCAGGAAGTTTGTCGAGAAGCCGTTGCGAATAAAGCTTACAGCAATATTTGAACTCGTTCTGGAGATCGAAAAAGGTTTGGCCGTTCGTTAATGCCGTACACCGCTTAATAGAATTGCGGATGTAGGCAAACATGTTTACCGAGCTCGAAAATACGGGCAGCTGGCCATTGCGATCCACCAGTTCTGTGTTCATAACCTCGTTGATCATCTGTTCCATGTTCTTCCGTTCCAGTGCAACATACGCCGTCATGAAAGGGTCGAATGAATGGGATATCAATCCTCGGATTGTCGGTAGATGTTGACTGTTGTTACCAGACACCTCGCCGTTTCTCTTAATCTCTTCTTCTAGTGCCTTACAATCAGCTACACGCTTTTTTCGGCAATATTTTTTCTTTATACCTTCCGCAGAATGAGGATCAATGACCTCGCCATTCTTGTCCAGCTCCGTTTGTTCCAGTTGTTCTTCACCTGCTCCTACTCCTTCGAATCTCTGGGCTGCGTCACGCTCGAACATGAGTGTCCGCTGAAGTGATTTAAGCAATAACGTCACGTTCATTTCGTCCGGAGTGTGCGCTCCTATTTGAACGAGTAAATGTGTCCGCGTGCGCTCGCAAAAACGAATGCAAATTCGCCTGGCTATTCGCCAATGCTTCGGAAACACAGCGTTTAAGCGATCATCAATAGCAGCAAGGAGATTGTAAAACCACGTATATCGTGCCTCAGCCTGCTGCAAGCCAGCGCACTCGCCTCCCTCGCCGTATTGTCTTTCATACGACATCAACTGCTCATCGCAAAACAAATGGATAAGTTTTTCTCGTGTCGCCCTGCCCAACGCATCTACGACTGCACATGCCGCCGAGAGGTTAGCAAAAACAGCCTTCCGCTCTTCTTCGGATGGGAAGTTTTCTTCTAATAATTCCATCGGTCCAATGGATCGAAAGTCAGCAAATATCTGTTCCCCGAGCTCCTCCTGCAGCGTGCATACTGTTTTGTGGAGCTCGACGATCTTGCTGACATTGGTGTAGCCGTCAAAATGTGTAAACAATTGGTTAACTGCTTCAAGTAAAGAAGCAGCCTCAAGGTAGTTACGCTGCGAGGACATGAACTCCAGCTGGTCCACCGCATTGACCAGCATGTGTAGTCGTTTTAGCGCCGTGAGCGTAGCCTGCAGGTGACGCTTGGCGTAGTCGAGCTGCTTGATATCGCGACAAATCTCTTGCACCATGACCTCTGACTGCTCCGTTTTTTCTCGAATATCATGGATTTTTTGAAAAAGCTGCTTTGTTGCCATTTTCGCTTCTTTCAAATCTATAAGCGCCTGATGGGCCGCTAGACTCTGATCCTGTGATGCCTGTGATAGCGAGTCATCCAATTCCTTCATGCGCCCACGGAGTCCGCTAACAAAGTCGCCGATGTTTTCTAAGCTTTGCTCATCCGGGAAATTGCGGTTAATGAACGCACGTGCATCGAAATCTGGTCGATCAAGCACATCTTCTGAAGGTAAAACCTACTTGCGACAGCAGAAACATCGATGAGACCATGTAGCAACGCAGGACTGCACAAAAAGCAAAGAACCTTTGTTAGTATATTTTCCACATTCTGTGGAAGGTTTAGTGTATTGCCCTGGTCATTATTAAGCTCGTCAGCCGACGTCGGGCCGCTTAGAATCTGCTCCATGTCACCTGTGAGACAAATGACGAATAATAGGAGACCAATAAACTTGCCAAATCTGATACTTTCTTAGCTGTTAATTTCCCTTGACTGCTACAAAATGCCAGTATAATTGTCTATAGAAATACTGCATTAACTGAAAACTTGTCTTAACAGATAGATTCCTTCAGTATCGAGGGTATCATTTTAGGCAAATTTATGAGGCGCTAAAAACGCTTAACTCGATTTTTCGCAGAATAAAATTTGATTATTAAACGGACTTATTTGTCTTTAACAGAATATGATGCATGATATTGATGGGCTTAAGCCCAATGAGCGCAATGCTTTATCTCGATCACCGTGACAGACTCGACAAGAACACGTTAAAGGTCGTTCAAGTCCTCCATGATATAAAGGGATTGAAAGACGGACCGTTAAAGACATATGTCGTTGTGAGAGTATTTTTAAGTCCATTACAAGACTCGGTCATGATCTACATTTAATCTAAACTAATTGAGCTTAACTACCCAGTCCTGATAAAAGACCGTCTCGAAATGATTGCCCAGGCTGCTTCTCTTCGTCCAAGGATTCGTCCACGCGGCAAACATCAACGAGCCAACGTCCTAGCTGCTTCATGCACGATGCTAAGACTGCGTCTTCTTTGACAATAGTCTCATCCACCTCAAGTTCTTTGTCGTAGTCAACCTCCGTGGGCGGCTGAAGGAACCCACTAAACCGCATCAGATTCTCTTTCTTCGTTGTATCCGTATATGCAAGGCTGGATAAATCTACAGGCCGCTTTGTCTGGTCAACAAGCTCATGACTGTCCACCACTGCAGTAGACAGATCAACCTTCTTCATCTGCTGCTCGTAAATCATACGCTCCATCGTGCCTGTGCTCACAAGCCTGTACACGTGCACAGTTTTAGCCTGGCCGATGCGGTGCGAGCGGCACATTGACTGAACACGGCAAAATTATACAAGTAAGTCTCCCATCACCATAGTAAGTGACAGTGCCATTGTACCGCATACCTGGTGGTCGTTGGAAGGATTCCAGCTAACGTCGAATAGCACGAGGCGGTTCGCGGCGTGAAGATTGATGCCTTCAGCACCAGCGCGCGTAGATACCAATAGCACCTTAACCGGTGAATCAGTCGAGCTAAATCGCTAGACAGTGGACACAGCAGAGTTTGTCAGTTGTTCAATCGATTTAAAGAGTCATAACTGCATTCGTTGCGTTCAGGGGATACCTGGATATACTCCATGCGTTTGGCTCCATTCGTACTGCCATCGATCTGCAATAGCCACTCGTTTGAAGTGACACTTGGCACCGCATCGATAGTATTAGTACCCAAGCTGCTAGTTCCTGTTTGGTTTCGACGCTTGCGCAAGATTCCAGCTGGGTCGCGATTCGGGCGCGAAGTAATTCGGCGGCGCTTCGACTTGCCTGCAATTCTTTCTTTGAAGCTATTGCGCGCCTTCGTAGCGTCGTCCGCAGCACGTGATGGACTAAAACTGCTCGCATGCAGAAAATTTGATATAACCTTTAGCGTAGGAACGCTTTGAGAAAACACAACGACCTTATCACCACAAAGAAAGCTCTCCTGGACGATGCTCAACAGCACGACCATTTTTCCGCTGTGCTCCGGTATTTTCGCATGATAGCTACTTGCCCTATCCTTTGCAGATGGCTCGACTTCTTGTCGGGGATCACCGAATATTACGGAGCGTGCCCACTCCGAAGACTTTTGAGTATCCGTGAGCTTCTGTCGCTTCCTACGCCTTCGAGCTGCAACAGTCTGCTGTTTTTCGTGCAAACGCTCTTCACTCTCCCATGCCCAGCCACTTGAGACGTCTAGGCCTAGCGATGTGTCGTTGGCCTCACATTCCTCCCCTAGCAGCAGTGAAGAGCCATCTTCCTCGAAAGGACAGAGTTTTGAATAAATAATATCTGGGTGGTTCATCACTTGCAGCAGTGTGGCATAAGCAGTCAAAAGATCAGCAGTAGCCCCGCTGCCGTCCCTGTAATAATCAAGGAAATCGCAGTACAATTGATGCTGTACTGGAGAGAGTTTGCAATACAAGATCCACTCCAGCTTAGGCGGCAGCTGGGAGCGCAGCAGGGCTTTGCCTCGACGCAGCACGACACTCTGCAACAACTCAATCAGCTCTTGTGAACGTGACATGTCTCTTTCCAGAATGGGTCTCTCGTACTTCACCCGAAATTCATCGTAGCTGCCCAGAAAGCCCTCCCGCGCAAAATTGACCATGCACCAGTACTCGGACAAAGAGTTTTGCAAAGGATAACCAGTGAGCACCAAGCGTCGAGGGGATTGAATCTGAGCTACACTTTGGCACAGTAACGAGCTTGGATCCTTCATCCGATGGCCTTCATCCATGACCACAAGATCTGCCCCCGGAGAGCATAGCAGGCGCCGAAACTCGTGTGCTGTACGTTGCACCTGGAGAACATCCTGCGCAGAAGCGCTGGTAACTTCCATTGTAGCGAAAACCATACGCGAACACACCCGGATGGATGCATCGCGCGCAGGAGAACAGCTCACAGGCGTAGTTGTTGGGTTTAATAGTCCGCGAAACATCTCATACCCCATCAGCAAGACGCCACCAGCGCGCTTCCAGCGTCGAAGCAGTCGCAGACGACCTACATTGGTGCCTTTTGTCGAGGAAGCATCCAACGTGTGAACAGGACAGCGCGCACGTGCCTCAGCGTTCAACCACTTTTTGAACTCGGATTCCCAGTTGGATAAACATATCGCTGGGCATAGCACTAGAACGGTCGCCTGGATATCCTCGTTGCCGTCATGCCCGTCCTGATCTTGTGGTCTTTCTGAATCCTCTATATTTACAGCAGAACTAGCTACATTCTCTCTGCGTTGCTTTCGCGCGTTCATTTCGTCAATAATGAAGGAATAAATAACAGTGATCACTTGTAGCGTCTTGCCGAGCCCCATGTAGTCTGCAAGGATACACCCACGATTGGCTACCACATGGGAGTGCAAAAATTGGACGCCTTCCACTTGGTGAGGCTTTAGCAGGGGCTTAATCTCTCTTGCTATCCACAAGTTACCGTTTCTCTCTACTTGACTAGTGGTGGAAGGTGCGCCCAGTCGTACGCGACCATACTCGTCCGTCTCCTCGTTGCCAACTCCCAGATCTTGGTCAGTCGCCAGCAGTCTAGTAGAATTCACATTTGTAGCCTCATTGTCACCCAACATGGCGGCATCGTCTTCATTGGGGCAAATACACGGCAGCATCATGCAGCTCATGCACTGCGACGTGGCGTCAGATGCGAATAGCTGGCGCAGCCTGGCTTTTGACGTGATGGTACCGCTATCATTACTATTATTTCCACCATGAAACTCTTCCGAGAAGTCTACAGCGTCCTCGACGTCGCCCACGCAAATGCATGGCAAGAAGCCGCACGTGCATCCATTGCCAACCATGATTTATATAAAGAGTCTAAAACCGAAAACAAAACGACAAGCTAATTAATTAGTGTTACGAGCAGTGAATGAATTCATCCAATCAACGCTTGCATGAAGAATATACTTAGATTTGAGAGCTGTACCGTATTTAAGCCTTGTTTAATCCGTTTAATGAATTTCCGGTCATTCTGAGGGTCCATGGCGCTGCATGGACCTATATCTACCGTACCACTTTGCTCTTCTTTCAGCTCACTCGTACGGCTTCATGCAACTTAAGCAACGACCCGCGCATGATAAAGCACCATAAACCTTTCGATAAGAAAGCTCGATCTACCGCGTGCTCGAGAGTGAACGACGAGATATGGCCGACATGCAAAAGACGCACAAGACCAATTACTTTGCGACACCAGATGCTGATGGAAAAATACAGAGAAACATGTGATGCAGTTGATTTGTAGCGAATCTCATGGAAATAGACGGGAGCGTGGTGCAGCTACACCGGGAGTTGCGTCATTGCGTTATCATTGCGAACAGGTTGGGTCAGCAGTTTTCAATGAGACGTTTGTAACTTGCGGTGTGGCGGAAGTACATTTCAAACTTTAAATCGCCAAGCTTCAGCCTTACGAAAAGCGCAAGTTGAAATTTCTGAATCGTTGACATTTTTCGGGCGTGGTACGAGGGCATCAGTGTTGTGTGTTTTTCGCATTTTACATTAATGAAGGCAACTCTTTTTGCTCGCATGAGACTCTTTGTCTCTTCGAGTGCTTTCGCCAGCACCACCTTTTGGGTTGTTATCGCTTAGGTATGAATTCTGCCACCTTACTTGCCCTCCGATCCTATGTTTGCTTGTATTGTTGGTATTATAATTCTAAGCAACAGAAGACATTAGTCAGAGGCATTGAAATAAAGCAGATTCTTACTATCGGGGGGTTGGATGGATTGAAAACAAAAATTTGCAAAGGGGTCCTCAGACAACCACTACATCGAGATAGCTTTCTGAAAGACAAGAAGAACTATGTTTTGCGCCAGGATTAGCCTGCGTTAGAGAACGAAGGAAGCTAATTATCCAAGGATTCAAAATACTTTGCCCATCTTACTTGTGATGGCGAAGCATTGGAGGCAGTGAAGGTGACGAGACGAAATTCCGAATACGAGGCATCTACTTTCCTATTACTTACATCAATTGGGTATGATCGTTTCGCAACGCAAGGAAACATTATGATCGTTTACGTTCCTAGTGGGTCTTTTACATACATGGATTGCTGGTGGTGGAATTATGGGGCATGGATTGCTGGTGGTGGAATTATGGGGCATGGATTGCTGGTGGTGGAATTATGGGGCATGGAGGCTGGAGTTTCGATGAGTGGACCGCCGTCTACGCGATTTTCCCCTTGTGCGCACGTACACGGGCTCGACAAATTCAACCTGCTTGCTGCTTTTAACGCCCTCCGTGTTTCGGTGGCGCAGCAGATTGAAAAACCCGCCGCTAATTTTGGAAGACGATATCTGCTCTGCTTCGTCCTCCGACTGATTCTCACATACTAGGCTCTTGTTCTTGGTTGCGCGCTCTTGAGCACGCTGGTAAACTAACTCCAGATACAGCTCGCTGTCAAATGAGTTAAACAGTTGCGAATAATATTCAAATAACGCGGCGTTGCGAGCCTCAATTTTTTCATCATCCTTGGCCTCACCGCTTTCCAGATGCAGCAGCAGTTTCTTCTGTACAGGAAAGGAAACAATCCCAGGTGGCTCTATCGCGGACATATACTGATGGTGCAGGTCGTGAGCGTGATGAGTCTGATGAGTATGCAGCTTGCTCGTCGTCTCCTTTTCTTCTTCTTCAACTTCGTTGCTGGTAGTGCTTTCTTTCTTCAAGCGGAATGTGTGCCGCACGATACTCGAGAAAGAGGTAGGCGACCTCTTAGACGTCGACGACACCGACGAACGCGATGTGGACGACGAACGGGTCGACAGGAAGCTTTCGCGTCCAGTAAGTAGTCCACCCTGAGATTCTCCGTATTTTTCGATATAAAGCCGCAAAAACTCGCGGTGCAATCGCACAAGAGCCTGAAAGGAACCCGAAAAGCCTAATCGCGTGTGGTTCTCCCGTGGCGAGCCCACAACGAGCTCAACGTAGTAGCATACCCACAATTTCTTTCTTTTCTTAATATCCGTCATGTTCTGTTCTTTCCTGTGCGCAGTCACATTTACACCGACAACCGGTCGTGACATGTTTGCCAAACGTCCTGCACGCTTTCAAATTAAGTTAAAGAGTGGAAAGTATAAAGTCAGCTTGCCAAACTTATTATGTTATTTTATTTGTTTTATTTGTAGTAGCTAGGGCGATTTTACCGAGATACCGTTAGGATCATTTAATGCGTTTAGGTTAGAAAATATTTTTACCTTTTAGATTAAGCTGGTTTAAATATACTGCAAGTATTTTAGTAAGTTTTATTAAGTACATTAATTTAATTATGGGTACTAAATATATTATATTTTTACTTTTTTTATTTTAGTCGAAAATTTGTTAGTATAATTTTCACAAGACATAATATATAATTATTTTCGTGTCTATTAAATTATTACTATTAATACTAGCCCGTCGTTCCGTCGGTGCGAAGTAGTATATATAGGCATGTTAAATGCAGCAATTTGCTAAGGTGTTCACCCGTCGTTCCAGCGGACATGTCGCGCAAATCTTACGCTGATAGTATATATAGGCATCTTTAAAAAACGCAGCGCTTCGCTTGAGTGTGTGCCCGTCGTTTTGACAAATAGGTACGCTCGGACCGGATATAAAGGTGTGATTTTCTAAAAAGGACTGAGTATTGGTGTCAAACAGCTTTTTATGCTACTTTTAGTTAGTGTGCAGCTTGCTGATGCTTCCTATCGTTCCGACGGATAGGTGCGCGAATTCTACGCGGATAGTATATTGAACCATCACTTTACTTTCAAATATTTGGTTGAGTCAGGTAATTGCTAGATATGAAGACAAGGTATACCTGTCGACACCAGTCAATGTGTACCTGTCGTTTTGCATGTCAATGTTGTAGTGAATTGGGTTCTCAAAATTGTATGATGACACCCCAAACCACTCACTGTGCCGGACTGCCGACTGTCGGAGGGGGCACCCCGATGCCGCGTATGGACCTTCTCTCACCTTGTGTACCCGTCGGCTGGCGGGTTGCACTCTTTGGAGGACTTGGTGACGATGTAGATGTCTGCCTTGAGGGAGGTAGACCTGTGGGGCCTCGAGTGGATATGCTTCACTCGTCGGGCCGGTAGGTGGCCATCGATCTGATTCCTTGCGTCGACTGGTCTGAACCTTGTATTAACTGGTCAGGAGTGGCTGAACCCCGAGGGGCCGAGGTCGTCCGACGAGGGACCCAGGTCTACCAACGAGGGACCGGGTCGACTTCCTTCGGTACCGGTTAATCGATACCCTGATGCTGATTTATCTTTTTGTGGGTCCTGCAAATTGTATTCCGCCAACGGTCGCTTCCCTGACAAGGCCCCTACCTCTCTGGTCTCTTTTCCCTGATACACGGTGATTTATACTCCGAATCCAACTGGATTCAGGGGTCTCCATATCTCAAAACAAGCATTTCACCACAGCCGCCCCCTGCACTTGCTCAGCCGTACAGCGGTTTGAGCACGCGCATGTCTTTACCTCTTCCGTCACGTGAGTCCTTTACTTTCCTTTTTTCAATATTCGCATCTAATCCGTGTCGTTTCAGCAATGTCTTCACCTGGTTCTGACCCACCGTCTAAAGAACCGACCTCGATCGTCCCCGCACCTTCGATTGAACCTCCATTCGAATAGACGTCCTTGGTCGACCTCTACTTGCCAGTCTCTTCACCTTTGAGTTCCGCCGAGACTTCCACCGTTGATAGCCCTCCTGTCTCCACCGCTTTTCCTCCCACCAAGTCGGCCGATACTTCCGCCACTTCGGTCTCCATGGACGACAATCCATCTTACGCGCCAGTCGACGTGCGCGTAGCTCTGCATGAACTGAAAGTTAACGTGGACGCGCAATCTCGCCGCATAGAATACTGCGAGAGTCGATTAAGTTTCGTCCCCCCTTCCGCCACCTTATTGTCTACCCGGTGTGATCGCCTAGAAGAGGAGTTACGCGACAACTCCCGGATGGTGGTCCAACACCGCGAGGCCCCTCAGCACTATACTGCACTGGTCGAACGCCTACGATGGAAGATCGACAACAGTCGAAGTCGTTACTCTCTTCTCGCAGTAGAACTCGACCACGCCGACTTCACCTCCGGGACCAGCTTCCTCTTCGACGGCTTCGCCCCCGGCCGTATGTCCACCTTCGAAGCCGTCGAAAGCTCTCGGGAAACGGTCCAGACGAAAGTCATCCCGCGTGCCTGCCAAGTCCACCAAGTCTCTGAGATCCGAAACGTCCGCATACCGCTGTCAGGGGTCTCTGGCATCCGTTCTCCCGTCATGCTGGAGTCTCTGGAAGACGACCTCAGCAACGACAGCGAGACACTTCGGTCGGCCCGGTCGAAGTTCTACGATTACAAGTTCCTCAAGTCTTCTGCCAACGCCTACATCTCTCCTGAAACCCATCTCTACTGCAGGCCTCTCTAGCCTTAAGACCCGAGTGATGTTCGGGTCTTCTGGCTAGGAGACTGAGTCGACCGCAGGGAAGGAAAAGGACGCGCTCACGGTTGCGGTCGACGATCCACCCCTCCAGACCGACTCTTGTTCGCTCCCCAAGGATGACATCATCCCTGGGTACATGCAGCTGAAGACCTTCTCTGCCGCAGAAGTGGTACCTTGGCCGGTCGACCTTATTAACTCTTGGTGCATTGTGACGATGTCTCCAAAAGACTTGGTCTACCAGTTTGATCTACCTTGTGGGTGGTTCGGCCCACCGGACGCAAACTTTGAACGCCCTCCCAAGTGAAAGAAGTCACTGGTGAACTCCCCAATGATCCAGAAACTGCTGACTGCTGAATATTGGGTAGCAGACCGTGTTCCGATTCCACCCGTTTCCTTTCGACCTGTCGGCTGGTTCGCCCAGTCGGCGGCGGTCTACACACAGTTTGACGAAGAGCATAGCCAAGCGCTCTGGGAGGCTACCCACTGCCTGTGGATCTTCAAAGAACAAGCGCGAGCGAACTATTTTCTTGCGTCATATTACAACGCGCGGAAGAAGCGTCGGAGTCGGGCGACTCGAGCGTGGCGGGAGGTGGTCGACTTTATCTTCGTTGAGATGAGTAAGGGCCGCTGCAATCTCGACATTTTCCTGGACCCCTTCTCCCGACATCTTCCTCGAACCCGTCATGTAGTTTACTGGTACCCTGGTCGTGAGGAGGGATCAGATCCAGCCTACCTGCTAGAGGCCCTTCAGGTGTCGGATTCCGCGTGGCCGTGTATCACCCATCATCGGTTGCCTTCCGTGCCTAATCCTGGAACTTTAGTCCCACGCCTCAAGGGTAACTTTAGCCCGCCCTCTTAGGTCTTCCTTTGAACACGAATCTTCGTTCTCTTCGATCCTATTTTCTGTGCGTCTGTCCATCTTCCATCTCCTTCGCCATACTTCCTTCTGTTTCCAAATGATATTTTCAGTCTTCTTTCTTCGTTCTTCATTATTCTAAACCTCGAATTCGTGAAGAGTCAAGGTCCTCCCATCGCAAAACCCAGGTCTACCAACGAGGGACCGAGCCTACCACTGAGGGACCAGGTCTACCAATGAGGGACCCGGATCTCCTAATGAGAGACCATGGTCTACCTTCCAGGGACCTTGGTACAGTCCGCTAGTTCTCATGGCTTTGTATTACTTCGAAGCGGTTATGGCTTGTCTTCTTGCGCTCGAAATCTTGTAGTAAGGATCCACAATGTAGATCCGCTTCGTCCACGCACGTGGGATCAGGGTGTCCTTTTCATTGCACGAGGAATTCTCGTTGTTGCCGTCCATACCGAGTTTTCTTACCTGTACGACTCTCCAATATTTCTTCGATCTCATACTCGCCTTCTTCCAATTCCAGCACCCAGCTATCTTCTTTTAAAAGACATTCGTCGAAGTCAACCCGGTCTGCTCTGTCTATTTCTAGTTTGCTGCTAGATCGATCGGAGAACTCTCTGACGGGCTTGAGCTTGGAAATGTGCACGATTGGAAATATTCTGTATTCTGTGCCTCGTAGTTCCAAACGTGCTGCATGATCTCCGGCCAATTCCCGGACTCGGAACGGTTCGTGCCAGAGGTGGGCCAATTTCTTGGCATACCCTTATTTCACCCGGTCTAAGTATAGCTATACCCGGGGCCCTGGCTGAATTTCGTGGCCGACTATCCCTTCATTATGCGCTTGCACCCAAGCCTGACTATCCCACCGTAAGTTCTCGTTGACTTGGTCTCTTGCTCGCTGATAGTGACTCTAAATCCGATATCTCCATCTCCGAGGTCCTGATTCTCGACGTCGAGTGTTCACCACCGGTAACATAGTCTCAAGAGTGATCCTAGCATCCCATCCATGGACCAGATAGAACGGTGTTTCCTCCCGTACTCTGTCTTGAGCCGTGTTTAACGCGAACGTTAATCGTTCCGCGTATTCATCCCAGTCTCGCTGTCCCACGTCGGCTACGTACATCTTGAGCGATCTTGTTAGAGTCTGGACCATTCTCTCCGCAGTGTCGTTCGCTTGAGATCGGTAGGCCATGGTCGCTCTCTGACGTTGACCCACCATACGACTGAACGCTCGGAAGAAGTCCGACATAAACCCCGGTTCCCGATCGTGACGGATCGTCTCACTGGCACCAAAACGGCGCAAAACGCATTCTTCATATCCTTCAGCTACTGTCTGGGCTGTCTGTGACGCACTTGCTTTAGCCATCACATAACCTGTGAACAAGTCGACCCAGATCAGTAGTTCCGTATTTCCTTTATGCGACTTGGGGAGAGATGGTATGTGGTCCATCGCGATAATTTGGAAGGGGTACGTCGCTTCAACATTCCCCGGAGACTTCCCTTGTAAAGTGGGCCTCCCTTTCCCAGTCTCGCAAACCATGCACTGACCCACATATTTCTGGACACTCCGGAACAGACCCCTCCAATGACAATATCGTCGGATCCGATGATAAGTACGCCCGATTCTATGATGGCCGCCTTCCAAACTCTTATGATAATGATGGAGGACGTCGGCTTGGAGACTCTCAGTTATCACCAATCTGGCAGTTATGTCTCGGTCGTCTCCCTCGATTCTATGGCCGG